TAGCTGATACGTGTTACAGTTGTAATCCAAATCCCTGTGTAATCCAAATTGTGACCTGCTTTCGATTTACTCAAAATTTCTAAGTGAACATATACTGTGTATGGTAACATTTGAAGGGGCACTTCGTTGCGGTCACTTTGACCCCATTGTCAACCACGCTAATGTACTACAAGCATGTCACACATATTGTAATTTGATGCATAGCAAGTTCAGTATTACAATAAGCTTGTGATGATTGATGTCATGAAATGTTAGTGAACTTGGCAGGTAGTTGTCAAGTAGGTTGATACACATGTCTGCTTAATTTCATAGATCTAGGTATAAAGTTTACAAATTGAGCACATGTTGAAGTTGTTTAGGAATTTTCCTGAAAAGTCTGTTTTTGGAGAGCAATTTATCGTAAAGTAGGTCAGTTGTAGTTGCATTTTGTAGGGGGTTGAAAAGGGTATATCTTGAAGTATCTAAATATAATAGAGGGTCTTTATTAAGCCAGGCTTGATGGAGCTACAGGTATACCCTTACAAAAATGTCCTGTGGTAATTCCTGTGGTAATCATGTGGTATTACCACAGGACATTTTTGTAAGGGTAGCAAGATAAACACATCCATTTTCAGAACTTTCATATCAAACATGATCATTGATATTGTGAAATTAACTGAGCAGAACCATGTGCAATGCAAAGATAAAGATGCTGTAGAAATTTCATTTAGGACTTGATATGACTAAGTTGTGGTAATTTTTCTTTTTCATCTGTCAATATTTAAAGAATTTTAGCGATTCTTGAAAGGGTCGATTTTGGAATTAAATTTTGAGTATGAAGATAGCATTTTGAAAGGCCATTTGTATCAGTAGAAGATGAAGAGCAACTCGTACACTACCTAGAGTAATTTTTTAAAAGTCTGTAGCATCTAGGATAGTGGAGATAGGTAGGCTGAAAGAAAGGTATAAAGACGGACTCAAAACAGTCAAAATTGTGCATGGACGATCAGTTCAGTGCATACAATGGGATGGTAAAGAATATGCATATGAAATCTGAAAGGAATTGGGAGAGAGAGAAAGGGACCTAATTAGGAATAACAAGCACTGCGTGCAAAATTAATCTGATGCCAGTGAAAGAGGAATTTGAAAAAAAGGATTCAGAACATGCAATTTACAATTACAGTGAAGCTACATGTATGTACTTGCAGGTGCATATAATATATACACAGTGCATCTATACCTTTTAGATGAGCTAAACATTTTGGAAAGGAAACTTCATCGATAGTTTGCACACTGTCATCCCTTCAGAAAAGGTATCTCATGCCCGAATGAAGTCCCAATTCTTGGTTTATAAATGTTTAACAGGGCACAAAGAAATCTGTTTGATATTATTATTGGCCCTGTGTATAATTTGGGTTACCTGTATTGATATTGCAACTCTGGAGACTAGATTTTTGCTCCGTATTCACCCTTTTAATTTACTGATCGTATTCCTACTTACATTTATAAATGATTAAGGTATGATCGAGGCACCAGATGGTGTGAACTTTAAAAATCTCTTTCGAAACCTGTCCTTAGACTTGTACTCTCCTTTTATTTTGTTTGAGGATTCTCTGTACACACATGGTAAGCTAAGATGATATTCCTACTCAGTACTGTCACAAAAATAGGATGAAATGTCATGGCAATAGTTCTTCAGCCTGTACCTTTATTTATTTCCTTTTCTTTCTTATGCTCTGTAGTTCTAGCAGCATATCTATGGAAAATGCTCATGTAAGTTATACACACATATGCCTAACATCCAAGAGAACATCTCTATTTTGCATCCCATCAGTAACCACTTTGTCATTTTATCCAGGTTTCCCTCTGTATTAAGAGAAATTGTGGACCTACTATGTCACTGGATGTGGCAGAGATAATATGCTCCATGCCATCTTTGAAGGAAGTTTTTCTACTAAGTGCATTCCATCATTGTTTTTTTGAAACACTTGCAAGGAAAGGAAAAGAATCAAAGGTGAGTGGTTCATCCACAATTTTGATGTATGAGTGAGTGTTTAATTTAATTTAATTCCATTACCATCTCTTCCCTTTGCTAATGTACATTTTACTTTTCTTTAATTCCTTTAAATGTCTCATATATGCTGGTTCTTTTGACAGAAGAATATATTGTCAATTGTCTTTTCACTATTAGGCCTCAGCAGTGTTAACAAAGCCTTTACATGTGAATATTATAACCATGGAAACTGTGGAAGATCACAACGTACTTAAAGGGAAAGTTTACCCTGATATTAAGTTGGTTTTAATAAAAGCAGAAAAATAAAAGAAATCAATTAGTGAAAGTTTGAGCAATATCCAATTAAAGATACAAAAAGTTATGAATTTTCTATGTTGTCATCAGTGGAACACATCTCGTGAGCTCCTTTTCTATTTGCTCTGTACTAAAAACTGAGATTCATTTATTTTCCCTCAAGAAAATGTTCAATCATACATGCACCCATAATATGATTATTGCAAATATATTTAAAATATGTATGGAAAAAATATATATTCCATCATCAATAAAGAAAATGAAGGTTTATTAAGTTTTATGTACAGAGCATATTGGAGGGGGGGGGGGGGTGGGGCTGGCAAGATAATGTACTTTAATACGTCACATCGTTGCCAATTTGTGTTTGATTGATCGCAACTTCAAATACTCAAAACTTTCCTAATTTAATCGGAATTTGCTCAAACTTTCACTGACCCGTTCCAATCATTTTCTGCTTCTATTAAAATCTACTTAATATCAGGATGGACTTCCCCTTTGACTTAAAGTACCACCAGTGATGATTATTTATTGCATTAAGTGCCTCCCTAATATCAGAAGCATAACTTTAATTTCATTCTAGTTTGTTTATGAGCAGAACTGCTATAATCTAAACATATATACAAGTAAAATATTGTTCAGACTCCAAAAATAAGTCTGAATGAGACCTGCATATGGGCACTGAAACTTTTGGGAAAGGAATGTTGAAGGACAGACTTGTCCAATGGTAGCGTTAACTTAGGATCTAAATCCTATACGTTCTTGGTCTTTCTCATCTAGATCTGTTGTTAACATTATTCTTGGAAAACCACCTTGCTGATAAAAGATGGAATAGAAGTGTTAATTGAAAGTTGTGTAAATATCATATTTATACAATCTATGCATGATTTAAAAAAACTCTAAATATGGGTTCAGAATTGCTGACTAAATAACCGCTCTCTCGATCCAACAAATGTTTCATCAATGACATGTATAAGTTGTATCCGATGTATAGATTGAAATGAAAGTAATATAATCTCTGTATGCAATTGAAGACAGAGTCGATATGATATATTGGTATTGTTATTGGTGCAGAGTTTGGGGTGACAAGAATAACGGTTGTTAGTCACAATAATCTCTATGACTTTTCATGCAGATAACTTTGAATAATCATGACAATGAAAGATCCACCTAAATAATGTAATATATTGATTGTTCCCGGACACTTTGTTAACACCAAAAAGATTTGTACATCATTGTCCTCCATGCTTTTGTATTTGGATTTACAGTACGTGCGAAATATAGTTAATAATGACATCGTGTAACATTTTCCTAGAAAACGAATCTGTCTTTTCTCATCTTAACCTTTTAATTATTGTTGTATGCCATTCCAACTGGAGGGGTAGGCCAGGAGACAATTTGTTGTCTTGTATGATTCTCTACTTTTTTGCAAAAAATGTATATACACCAGGGTGTTAATGACATTACATCGGTATACTATCTATGATAGTATACATGTGACACCTGATAGGTATGTGATAAACATGGATAGGGATTAAACCGATGTAATTCCAACACTTTCTTTAAATTCCATGTTGGTGTTTATTTAACACTCATTTTTTATGCCTCCGCTACAAAGTAGCCGAGGCATTAGGTTTTCTGGTTGTCCGTCTGTATACATCCCGTTCTTGTGACCGCGTTATCTCAAGAACCGATTGTTGGATTACCGTCAAACTCGGGCCATGTATGTATCTTGCAGAGCCTATGAACTGATCAGATTTTAGGGTCAAAGGTCATGGGGCTTATTATGTATGCAAAAATAGCTTGTGAAGGCATTGTCAATACTGACGGATGGATTACTATCAAACTTGGGACATGTACCTGTATGTATCTTGCAGATACAATGAACTGATTACATTTTAGGGTCATGATGTCAAAGTTATAAAGGTCATACATGAATATGAAAAATAGCTTTTAATCACGATATTCTGAGAACCTGTTAATGGATTACAATCAAACTTGAATTTTTAAAATTGCTTTTGTTACTGCTGTATGGCGGAGGTATCATTTTCGACTGCGTGCAGTCGAACATCCATCTAGTTTGGTTGTATTATTATTCCAAATAGTCTAAAGACGATATATCTAATGAAAGCAAATGTTCAAGTATGACCAATTTATGATTAAGGGGTAAAAATGTGAATTTCATGATCTTATTTGCATAATTTACCAGAAATATGCAAATGAGTCAATTTTCAAAAAATTGAAAATACCATAGTATTCAATACACTTCAATTGAAATGCCCCACCCCCCCCCCCCTGTCCGATGTCGTAGAAAGACCTCAAATACCCCGGCCTCATTAGGGTGTTAAGACTTGAATTTACCACACTGAACCATGGCAACAAACCTTCTGATGGGTCTTGTGCATATGAAATTCAGAGTTAAGAATACCTTAAATACATTAATAGCAAATGTATATTTATTGGTATTATGAATTTCAGTGTAAGTAGGAGTAGGACTTATCAATGCAAACAGGATGGACGCCCTATAAAGAATACATAATTTTAAAAAAATTACCTTTACTAAAGAATCCTCTTAATACAAACTTTAGTGTGTTCTTTTTCTCAATAGACAAGAATTGAATTTGAAAATAAAATCTATTCAATTTTTTTTTTGGAGAATGTTATGAATAAAACTATGTAATAAATATAATTTGGCTGAAATGTTAGAATACAGTCAGAAATTAGTGAGTAAATCATATGCATGTATAGACATAATGCTTAAATATATTGACAAACAATGCAGGTCCAGACTCTCAAGCTTTATGGTCTCCAGTGTCCCACACCATCCTCATTACATCTCCTAGCAGAAGCACTGTGTTCTATGCCCAACCTGACTAACCTGACACTTAAAGGGCATATCTATAAGGAGTTCTACTCTGCATTGAAAGCAAAGGCATCATCCATACAGGTATGTGTGTCCTTATGTAAATGTCATGGAGGTTCATTGATCGACAGAAACAGCAGTAATAGTTACATGGTGCACATGTACAGTATATACCAGTATGTTTTTTTTTTTCTTCTCCAATCACCCTTTGGAAAAGTCATGAAATATGGAATAAAGCAAACTACACATGTACTGATACAGTTGAAATTCAAGTGTGTCTAAGATTGACATTGATTTGACTAATAATCAAAATTCAACTTTTTCCAAGTTTGATTGATAGTAAAAATATGTCATATAGTTTTTTAAGAGCCATTTTTTATAGAGGCTTGAACTTACCAAAATGAACCATAGCAACAAACCTTCTGACTTAGGGATCTTGTGCATATAAAATCCAGAGATATGAATACCTTTAATACATTAACAGCAAATATATATTTATTGGTATTATGAACTTCAGTGTAAGTAGGAGTAGGACTTATCAATGCAAACAGGTTGGAAGCCCTATAAAGAATACATAAGGAATTATTTTAAAAAATTGCCTTTACTAAATAATCCTCTCAATAGAAACTTTAGTGTGTTCTTTTTCTCAATAGACAAGAATTGAATTTGATATAAAAGCTATTCAATCGTTTTGTTGAGAATGTTATTATGAATACAACTATGTAATTTGAGGAATTTGTATATGTCACGTGCGATAGCTCGCTTGTATTAGCTCACTAATCTAGAATAGGCTACTTAACCACTCTGAATAATACTACCAAAGGATTCCAGAAATATTGGTTGAATGAAACATTTAATGTAACTCAAATCAAGGAGGATATTACAAATATCCTTGCCCAAATAGAACACATCATATTATTGTCGTTTACAAAATAATAATTATCTGTAAATAGGATACTGGCATTCAATGAAGCTTAAATAAATGTTTGTCTTCTCTGAGTTCATTTAACGTTGATACTTCGATGAAACTATATGCGACGACTGCAATGACGAACGTGTGTTGACCAGTAGCGACGGCGAATGATTACCTTGAACAGTGGAAAGCTAGAGATGCGCCCCGTTGATCTGGTTGAAGATAACTCTTGAACGACCTTGAAACACCCGACTCTGTCCTAGCCGAGGTTGCTCGAGTATACGTCGTCCAAGGTTGACTATATATATGGCCGAGGTTGACCCGTACGTTGACCGCCGTCTAAATTAATAAAAGACCGGAATCTTAATAGCATAGGTCCTAAAATTAACACAAAAATGCACAATACCACTTGTATTACATCGGTTTCCAACATTAGCAAAAGTGTCCATATTTTAAAGGACTCGGCCACACACAAAATACATATCATTCGGATATAAAACAGCTTCATATCTATCCTCTTTAAATGTCCATATTTTAAAGGACTCAGCCAAACAAAATACATATCATTCGGTAATAAAACAACTTCACATTATCCTCTCTAAATGACCATAACAATGACTGTTTAAGCATATAAAAATGACCTAGGTTTACATGCAATGATGTATAAAAATGTACTTACAATTCGGCATTGAGAAGAGGGAAGAACAGTCTCAGCATGCACTGGGTTGCATGGCACCACACCCCGCCGGTTCCTTTCCTTGGAAATACCCCCCAAAACTGTAACACAGACCTCTCTCTTCAAGATCAATTATCCAAGTGAGCAGTCTGCATGTGCATTTTTACTAGCACACACAAATGAAAATGTGTCATACAAAGAGTCTGCAATTCTATACACCTGACAGAACCTAGATATTGTGTACACTTGAATACACCTAACTATTCATCTAGTGAAGTGGAAATCTACATTAAGCACCTGTTCATAAGTGGGCTCACAAAAGAACATCTAATTTGCATATGATCCTTGTATAACTTACATGGGCTCACAAAGAACTACCTAATTTGAATAAGATCCTCACAGTATAAAATGTAAGATTACAGTCAGAAATTAGTGAGTAAAACATATGCATGTATAGACGTGCATGATGCTTAAATATATGCACAAACAATGCAGGTCCAGACTCTCAGGCTTGATGCACTCCTGTCTCCCACATCAGCCTCATCACAACTAGCAGAAGTGCTGTGTTCTATGCCAAACCTGACTGACCTGAAACTTGGAGGGGTTTTCTATGAGGAATTCTTCTCTACATTGAAAGCAAAGGCATCATCCATACAGGTATGTGCGTCCAAATGTGATGGAGGGTCATTGAATGACAGAAGCAGCAGTAATATTTATATGGTGCACATGTATATAACGGTATGTGTTTATTTCCTTCTCCAATCACCCTTTGGAACAGTCATGAAACATGGAATAAAGCAAACTACACATGTACTGATTTAGTTGAAATTCAAGTGTGTCTAAAATTGACATTGATTTGACTAATAATAAAAATTCAACCATTTCCAAGTTTGATTGATAGTAAAAATATGCCATATAGTTTTTTAAGAGCCATTTTTTATAGAGGCTTGAATTAACCAAACTGAACCATGGCAACAAACCTCCTGACTTTAAGGGTCTTGTGCATATGAAATCCAGAGTTATGAATACCTTTAATACATTAATAGCAAATGCATATCTATTGGTATTATAAATTTCAGTGTAAGTAGGAGTAGGACTCATTAATGCAAACAGGTTGGAAGCCCTATAAAGAATACATAAGGAATTTAAAAATAAATTACCTTTACTACATAATCCTCTCCATAGAAACTTTAGTGTATTCTTTTTCTCAGTAGACAAGAATTGAATTTGAAAATAAAATCTATTCAATCATTTTTGTTGAGAATGTTATTATGAATACAACTATGTAATTAATGGAATTTGGGTGAAATGTTAGAATACAGTCAGAAATTAGTGAGTAAAACATATGGATGAATAGATGTGATGCTTAAATATATTGACAAACAATGCAGGTCCAGACTGTCGAGCTTGGTCTCCTGTGTCCCACACTAGCCTCATTACATCTCCTAGCAGAAGCACTGTGTTCTATGCCCAACCTGACTGACCTGACACTTGGAGGGTTTCTCAATGAGGAGTTCTACTCTGCATTGAAAGCAAAGGCATCATCCATACAGGTATGTGTGTCCTAATGTACATGTCATGGAGGGTCATTGCAAGAAAGAAACGGCAGTAATAGTTGTAAAGTGCACATGTATATATGTTTTTTTCTCCAAACACCCTTTTTAAAAGGCCATTCACTTGGTATATTGGAACAATGGATTAAAGCAAACTACACATGTACTGATTCAGTTGAAATTTGAACGTGTGAAAGCATTGTTTACCCATCCATGAAAGTACCTGCATTCATTCAGCAGATGTATTCGATTTATTGTATTATTACCAACGCTCCTTCTCCCCCTTTTCTTTTCTTCTCTTCTCTGCAAGTCGCCCTTTTTTATTTTTATTTTTATTGTAATGCCTCCGTTACGAAGTAGCCGGAGGCATTATGTTTTCGGGTTGTCCGTCCGTCCGTACGTCCCACTCTCGTTATCACGTTATCTCAAGAACCGTCTGATGGATTCCTACCAAACTTTGGTCATGTATGTAACTTGCAGAGCCAATGAATTGATTAGATTTTGGGGTTACGATATCAAAGGTCAAAGGTCACAGGACTCATTATATATGCAAAAAAAGCTTGTGATTGCGTTATCTCAAGAACTGATAGATGGATTCCTGCCCTACTTAGGTCATGTATGTATCTTGCAGAGCCAATTAATTGATTATAGTTTGGGGTCATAAGGTTAAAGGTCAAAGGTCACGGCTCAATATGTATGCAAAAATAGCTTGTGATCACATTATCATAAGAACAGATGGACAGATTACCATGAAAGTCAGGACATGTATGTATCTTGCTGAGGCAATGAACTGATTAGATTTTGGGGTCATGAGGTCAAGGTCACAGTCAAAGGTCATGGGGCTCATTATATATGCAAAAATAGCTTTTGATCCCGTTATCATTAGAACCGATGGATGTATTACAATCAAAATCAGACATGTGTGTCTTGAGTTCTACTCTACATTGAAAGCAAAGACATCATCCATGCAGGTATACATATGGGCTGTTGTGGGCTGCTATTCAAGAACAATATAGTAGGGATATACTAATGTCTTAGAAAGCTTTTTTCCACCTCATTTTCACCTTCTGTAAGTTGCCCTTTTCTGTTATTTCCCCCTTCTCCTCCACACCTGTTTTAGATAATTGTTAAAAAAAAAGCAACTTTCAATTGATATTTCTACATTGTGCTAAAGTATGATTTAAGTTTATTGAATTGAAAAAGTTCTTCCGTGGGAACCCCTCCACATACCACCACCCCCTGTTCCCTTGAGGAAAGCCCCGTCATCCCTAGTCAACATCCCTTAATTGACCTGGGGGGAGTTATTGTCTAGGGGGTAATTGTCCCGAGGCTCATTGTCCTTGCATTACTGTTTAGAAGTAGTTATTTTCGCGAGGATTCACTATTATGAATTCCACAAATCATTGTTTGCAAGTTTAACAACATGCGAAATATTTCCAGCAAGTAATTTGGCGTGCCAAATTCACTAAAATAAGCCCAATCGCATGTCATACATGTATATGGCGGATATTCACTATGGCATGAGCCGTCACAACAGGGGTGGCGGAGCATCTTCCAAGTGGGAGGGGGGGGGGGGGGGGGAGGGGCAACAAAAAAGGCACTCTCTTGGGAAATTTCAAAGCGAAAATATTATATTTTCAGACATTGGCATATACCCCTATATTGTGATTAAATTATCAGGGGTGATTTCAATATATGCTTCTCTCTTTCCATAGTACAAGATTCTGCTAAGAAGCATACTTTGCAGTTGGGTGTGATGGTCTGAATATTCCTTTGAAATTTTGACATTTGTGAGGTTGCAGTGCGAAAATTATATCTTATAAAGAGGAAAAACAAGCCTGATGGGGTTATAAGAACAATCTAATCATGAAAGACTGAAAAGACCTTTGATAAGAAACATACGGTGCCCTTAGTTGCTTTAAATTACGGGCACATTTTTGGGTGAAAGGCAAAGGGGACACTTATCAAAAGGGATAAAGACATTTATTAGAAAAGGAAAGGAGCACGTCTCAAAGTAAAAAGGTAATTATCACAGATGAAAAAGGATTATCAGAGATTGAAAAAGGCACTTATGAGAATATAAAATGGGCACTTATTTATATAGGAAAAGGGGCATTCATTGAAAGAAAAGGGGCATCTATCAGATGTGAAGTTCTTATGAGAATGGTAAATGGACACTTATTGCAAAGAAAAAAGGGAACTTGTCGAAAGAAAAAAAGCAGGTGTCAAAATAAAAGGGCGCTTGTCTGAGGTGAATAGGGCACTTATTAAAATGGGAAGTGGCACTTCTTACAAAGAAAAAGGGACACTTTTCCTGTGAAAAAAAAAACAGGCATTTTGGGGATACCCCCCTCCCCGCCACATTCATTCATCCCGAAAGGTCTCATATGTGATGTAAGATGATGATTGTGATTTATCTACTGCGCAACATTTTTCTTACTCTACCTTTTTGTAATTGTCCATACTTTATTTTTATTTTTTCATTTTGTTTAAGGGATGTAACTGTAGCTCTTGAGTGTATATTCCCAAGAAAATAGATTATATGCAAGAATGAAATAGATCCACTTACTGGAAACTGATACAAAGTTTACAAGCAATGTTGCTATTATATGTTACAGGGTTGTTTTCCTCAGATCAGGAAGGGAAACTTCAGGTTGAATGGAGTTATTCAAGATGACTTGAACTCATTTCTTCACACCCTCTCAAGGTCAGTAAAGTATACCGGTATGTTATTAAAAAAAAATATAACAAACTCAGATAACAACATTTAGACTTTTCATGAATAGTGCGATATAGAAAACAGCCTCTAATGGAATACTAAGAAAACCTACAATGCTGATACCCCTGCTGGGAGCATGCAATATTTTGATACTATTTACCTTTTTATCGGACAGAACTAAATATTCAGTAACGGTTTTATTTAACAAATTCCCTACTGTAAAGTGGAATCTATCAAGTTAAAACTTGTTGAATTTTGATGTTCTTTAGATGTATACATGTACATTTTTTTTTTAATGGATGGGGGAGGGAATGTAGTCTCTTTTATTTCTTTTTTCTTTTTTCTTTTTCTTAGGTGCCACTAATCAAAATATATCTTGAGACTAGTACTTTCAATAGGCCAATAGTAGTTAATTTCTTATTTCTCATCTTGCAAACAGATTGTAATAACAAATCCGTGTTTTTTTTAGCTCACTTTAGCAGACTGAGATAATTTAAACGTTACTCAGTTTCCCATAATTCCTTAATACAGTCCTTATCAACCATATTTCAGGTCACCTCTCCAACGATTAAGAGACAGTCACCATGGCAACACATACAACACAAGAAATGTCTCATCAGAGCAATCAAGAGCAACGTATCAAGAAACCGGGGCAAGCATTAGTCATGTGAACCCACTACATGCCAACGCCAGTGTTTACCTTGACACCTTATCAAGAGGGTTAGGTGCCAATATTCCAGTCTTGCAAGAGTCTTTGGATAATGCTCTTGTGAGGCAAGCTGTACAACAGCCAGGTACATTGAGGAATCAGACTGGTATTTGGCCAGTCTATTTAGAGAATAATGCACCACCGTGGAATCCTGGGCCTAGTCAGCCCCAATTTATGCCTTCCAATCTCCAATCAGATATGTCCGCTGGGTACCAGACCCCTGCTCCAAATGAGCCATGCAGTGGTTATAATTGCAGTCCTGAGTATAGAGCGGCTTACTACAATCCTACCTACAGTGCCACTATGTCAAGTTCTGCATCTCCTAACCCTCCAGTCTCAAGACATGATCAACCTACCATGTCCGCAGGGTACCTTTCACCATCACAGTATCCACCACCGGTTCCTGAGAGCACAGGTGCTACACGTACCACCATGCCTTGGTCAAGTCAGGGTCACGGCACTCAATCCTACCATGCCTCTACATCCAGCTCCGCTTTGTTGTGTAACCCTCCAGTCTCAAGACATGATCAACTTACCATGTCTGCAGGGTACCTTTCACCAACACAGTATCCACAACCTGTTCCTGAGTGCACAGGTGCTAGACATTCCACCAACTTTTCATCCTCGATCCAAAGTACAAGCAGTACTGGTAGGGACCACCCTAAACAGCAACCCACGGCCAATGTACACTCTCCAAGAAGGACATTGCCACCATCAGACCACCCTCAACAACTACCCATGGGTGATGTACACTATCCAAGAAGGACATTACCACCATCAGACCACCCTCAACAGCAACCCACGGCCAATGTACACTATCCAAGAAGGACATTACCACCATCAGACCACCCTCAACAGCAACACATGGGTGATGTACACTATCCAAGAAGGACATTACCACCATCAGATTACCCTCAACAGCAACCCATGGGTGATGTACACTATCCAAGAAGGACATTACCACCATCAGACTACCCTCAACAGCATGTTGACAATACTCCAGATACTGTATTTCAATTCCCTCAGACACACAGAGATTGTAGCAGTAGCGTGATCAGGCCTTACAAGAGGCAAGCTACTTGTACTCAGTCAAGAGTTCCACAGGATGATCCCCAAACTTCAGAGAAGCAATCAAAGTATGAAGTCTAGTTGCAATGGTATTGGTAGATTACGACAGTGTCCCACTGGTAACACTTCATCTTGTATGTACGTGTATGTATGATACAGGGCTCCACACTAACTGTTATTTGGAAAAGAGGTTCAGATTTAACTTGTTACAGTCTGTATGCATTAGCCCTATGTAAAAACATCCAAATTCTGGGGGTCCGGACCTAGATTTGGGGTGTCCATGCATGTGTGTCGGCTAGCCTGTGAGTTGAAAGTTCTGGGACCTGTTTCACAAAGCCTTTTTCAATAACAAATGACAAAAATCAGTTACGGTACAAATCTGCTGATAATTAATTAACCAAGCAGAAGCAAGGATTTCACTAGCTTATAACAAAAACTGTAATTTGTCATTGATAACAAGTTTTGTGAAATGGGACCCTGGACTGGTAGCAAGAAATTGTGGGTAAAAGGGGGTAAACGGACTGTTTTCTTCTTTTGCACCTAGATGAGTACAGCCCACTATCAGCGACCTGCTTCTCACAGCCTTTTTTCAATGACAAATGACAAAAGTCATTGACAAATGTGCTGATAATTAACCAATTAGAAGCAAGGATTTCACTAGCTAGTTATTACTAAAACTGTCAGTTGTCATTGATTACAAGTTTTGTGAAATGGGGCCCTGGTGTTAAGAATAAACATTTGAAGAGAAAGGGATCATAATATTGTCACAATGTTTGTGAATGTGTACTTAATAAGCCCAAAACAGAGTTGCATCAAGAGCCCATTGTGTACCTGTTTTTATGCAGAAAGGGGTCATGTTGTGTGGAAATGTTTTCTGAAAATACTCTAAATAGGGGGTCATTATTTACTTGGCTAAGATCATGCATTATGCCTGTAAATAGAAGGTGACATGGCCAGCAACTAGTTGATATAATGATAGTAACGGTGGCTTCTGATATAGTGATGCTGTCAAGCCATGACGCACCTTGCGCTCAAACTGTATTACCCTGGTCCTAGGCCGCCTCCAAATATGTCCCACTTTGGCATATCGGGTGCCGATGTACACCTGGGTGGAGAGTGGCAAATGTTGAATAATGCCTTGTCAAGGATGTTAGTGCATTAGACAATTATGTAGTCCATGTACCAAGTATATGTGTATTATTCAGTAGACTTGCAGTTGCACCATGTGAGAGAGGGAGGGGGAGGGGGAGGATTGGGCAGACCTGGAAAGGTGTATTGTGTATTGTAGACTTTTACCACTTTGTTCATTCATTCAGATTAATTTTATTGGTCCATTTTGAAATTCAGTTGTTGCCATTACATAAAGCATATGAACAATATACAATAGAAGGTGATTTGCATGCAATGTATGAAATACCACTCAACTTTCACAAAGTGAGTTATGAGTTAAAGTATGTAATTGTTCAAATTATCTTATCGAAATGTCACTGTATTTGTCAATGTCATTACCCATGTTCAATACAAAATATAATGAAGTAGAATCTAAATCAATTTGTGAATTTGTTACCAGAAATACCCAGATGTTAATACCCACATTGCTCCAGACATCTTGTCTATGAACTTGATAGAACTCAACATGATAGTTGAGAACTGGCTTTGTCTGGTAAGGGTGTATGAATAAAGGCCCGAGTTATCAGTGAAACATTTTGTCTGACGTGGATTATTGTTTGTAATTAACTACATCCAGTTCTAGATTTTAAAATCCATCTGAGGAAATATTTTCCTGGATTTTTCTTTACATCATTCCAGTGTAGATCACTATGAATATGACGGACAAAGAAAGCGGACAAAATATACAGTTTCTCAGGTAGACAAAGGAACATCCCTTCACTGCTATTATGTAAAAATGTGTAGAACAGGTGTCACATGCATATTCACCTGTTCTACACATTTTTAGATAATAGCAGTGAAGGGATGTTCCTTTGTCTACCTGAGGAACATATATTTTGTCCGCTTTCTTTGTCCGTCATATTCATAGTGGATGCTGCTACAAGTTTAAGATACATGTCTCTTTTGTCAATGTAACATCCCTGAATTATCAGTGTGATATTTAATTTGAAATGGATTATTGTTTGTACATGTTTAACTACATCCACCAGTACTATATTAAATCCATTTGAGGAAATATTTTCCTGGATTTTTTTGGATATCATTTCAATGTATATGTAAATATGCTGCTACAAGTTTAAGATACATGTCTGTTTTGTCAATGTAACATGCCCGAGTTATCAGTGTTATATGTAATTAAAAATGGATTATTGTTTGTACATGTTTAACTATATCCACCAGTACTATATTAAATCCATTTGAGTAAATATTTTCCTGGATTTTCTTTACATCATTTCAGTGTATATGCAAATATGCTGCTACAAGTTTAAGATGAATGTCTGTTTTGTCAATGTAACATGCCCGAGTTATCAGTGTGATATTTAATTAAAAATGGATTATTGTTTGTACATGTTTAACTATATCCACCAGTACTATATTAAATCCATTTGAGGAAATATTTTCCTGGATTTTCTTTACATCATTCCAGTGTACATATAAATACGCTGCTATAATTGTACGATACATGTTTATTCTATTTGTATTCTGTACTGGATTTCAATAATTTTGATGATACATATTCCAGATTATGATTATGCAATGCTATGATACATGTATATTTTGAACTTGTATATCTTTACCATACTTGCCTTGTAAATACGTTTTATATTTTAGTAAGTTTGCATTCCTGATTGGCTTATAATTAAGATACAAACGTAGACACTATACTCTCATGAGCATTCCATTACCTTGCCTTTTTATCACCATCCTCTTCTGATCAAGTGATGTCATTTTCATAATCCACTCTGATTTTCGTAATAGACAATGCAAATCGCTCAGATCTGTGAGTTTATTCTGAATTATGTCATGCAAAAGGATGTACAATACAGGTCTTTCTATGTAACTTGAATGATTATGAATTTCAAAAATAAATTTTGCGGTGCCTTAGATATTTAAACATTATGATGTACAAATGAAACAAAAGAATTTACTAGCTAGTGTAGTTTGATGATGGTGTATTTGTATCTTATAGCTGAAATGGTGTCACATGACACACAACATTCTGTTATATTTGCATGACTCTGCAATATAGCAACCTTATTTTGAATGTCATAACACGTGCAAAAGTGATCTCTTCTAGTTCTCTACGCAAAAGTATTGCATGCATTTTGTTATTCAGTGTAACATTTATTCACCTCCAAATTCAGAAATCCCCTTTTACAATTATATTTCATCTTCAGCCTATGGCCTCGGTAAAATTTAACATTACTTAGGAAATTCTTAATTTTTTTGGTTCATATATTCAAGTGCTAATGCTAATTCTGAAGTGTGGGAAACTGATGTAAAGCAAATGTAAAATACGACTGTATGCATGTACATAAAAGCATATATTCATCTTATTGAAATGCTCATTACATCTGGTTAGGGTATATTTTTAATCTTTTTCATTCAATCTATATATACACCCCTATAATATATACTGTATTGATAACTTTAACCTTGATAAGACTCAAATTTGAGTGGGAAGTTTGAATAAATCTGAAAATCAAATGAAATATGATTTATCTTACTTGTGATTATTTGGAAAATAGGAGCAGCGAAGTATGGATGAAAGATGAAAGAGAAAATGAGATACAAATTAGGTGTGAACATAAAGGAGATACATTTTATAGGACTAACCCCTTATGAATTTTTGAATTTTTGTAGATTTTACCAAAGTGACTGCCATTATTTTTTGTATTTTTCAGTCTCTCTCTCTGTCTCTCTCTCTCTCACACACACACACACTTTACTTGTTGTTTCTGCTTTTTATTCTATTTTTTTTTGTGGTCAATGTAGTATTTGTTATTTCCATTCCAGTCATCAGAAAATTATGTGAAAGTTGAGAAGTAATCAATTAAAAGATAGAAGAATCAAGAGCAAGGGGTATCCCTGTTCATCAATAAAGAGAGAGGGATATAGAAAGAGAGAGAAAGATGGAAAGATACAGATAGAAAAAGGGATAGAGAGAGGAAAAAAGAGATAAATACAGAGAGGGAGAGAGATGTGAAAAAAAGGATAAGGTGAATTAAATTGAGCCCATTCAACTCTTTTCAATAAAAGTATCTTTTTGCGAAGTATTCTCAATTGCTGTAAAACACTAATTTCCCCTTACCTCCCCTCTCATCCGAACTTTCTTTTCTTTTTTTTCACCATTCAATATCCCTCATTTTTCATATAGTACACAATATACAAGATAGACAGGACAGTTGGATTGTGAAACTTACAAATATAATTATTGTTATTCCATACAACCCATACATTCGATTCAGCATTGTGTTGAAGACACACAGATACATTACAGTATGGATGATTAAAAATCAGCAAAAATTATTGGGTTTCAAAAATAAATATATGTCCTTTTATTATATGATCATTATCTATGGTGGCCCTGAAGGGACATCGCGAATAGACTAAATCGTGAAAAATATGCGATAAAATTCACGATATCGTCAATTTTATCGCATATTTTTCACGAAGAAATTCACGAAATTGACGATATCGTGAACTTTATCGTGAACTTTTCACGATGAAATTGACGATATCGTGAATTTTATCGTGAAAAGTTCACGATATAAAGTTCACGATATCGTCAATTTTATCGTGTACTCTATCGTGTACTCTATCGTGTACTCTCCTGACGGGCGCTTCGTAAACAAAACCAGCCCTAGCTGGGGGCCGGAGAGCAGAGAGAAGGAAAAAAGGGAAAGGGAAAGAGAAGATAAAAGGAAAGAAAGAATAATAAGAAGAAAAGAGGGAAACGGGGGGGGGGCGAAGGGCTCTTGCCTCCTCCTCACTCCACCCCCTCCCCGCCAAAAAATAAATCAGAGAGAGAGAGAGAAGGGAAAGGGAAAGAGAAGATAAAAGGAAAGAAAGAAGAGGAAGAAGAAGAAAAGAGGAAAACGGGGGAAGGGCGAAGGACTCTTGCCCCCCCTCCCCCCCCCGCCAAAAAATAAATCAGAGAGAGAGAGAGAAGGGAAAGGAAAAGGGAAAGAGAAGATAAAAGGAAAGAAAGAAGAGGAAGAAGAAGAAAAGAGGGAAACGGGGGCAAAGGGCTTTTGCCTCGTCCCCCCGCCCCCCGCCAAAAAATAAATAAGAGAGAGGGAGAGAAGGAAAGGGAAAGAGAAGAAAGAAAGAGAAAAACGAAAAAGAGGGAGAATAGGAAAGAAAGGAAAAGAAAGAAAAGAAAAGAGGCAAGAGCCCTTCGCCCCTGTTTCCCTCTTTTCTTATTCTTTTTCCTCTTCTTTCTTTCCTTTTATATTTTCTTTCCCTCTCCCTTCTCTTTCCCTTTATGGCGGGAGGGGGAGGGGGAGGGGGAGGTAAGAGCCTTTCGCCCTTCCCCCGTTTCCCTCTTTCCGTCTTCTTCTTCTTTCTTTCCTTTTATATTTTCTTTCCCTTTCCCTTTCCCTTCTCTCTATCTCTCTGTCTCTCTCCTATTTATTTGTTGGCGCGGGAGGGGGGAGGAGGCAAGAGCCCCTCTTTTCTTCTTATTCTTCTTCCTTTCCTTTTTTATTCTCTTTCCCTTTCCCTTCTCTCTCTCTCTCTCTTATTTATTTTTTGGGCGGGGGGATGTAAGAGCCCTTCGCCCCCGTTTCCCTCTTTTCTTCTTCTTCTTCCTCTTCTTTCTTTCCTTTTATATTTTCTTTCCCTTTCCCTTCTCTCTCTTATTTATTTTTGGCGGGGGGGGGGGGGAGGAGGCAAGAGCCCTTCGCCCTTCCCCTGTTTCCCTCTTATTCCTCTTCTTTCTTTCCCTTTCCCTTCTCTCTCTCTCTCTCTCTCTCTCTCTCTTATTTATTTTTTTGGCGGGGGGGGGGGGGGAGGTAAGAGCCTTTCGCCCTTCCCCCGTTTCCCTCTTTCCTTCTTCCTCTTCTTTCTTTCCTTTTATATTTCCTTTCCCTTTCCCTTTCCCTTCTCTCTCTCCTTATTTATTTTTTGGCGGGGGGGGGGGGGGGAGTGAGGAGGAGGCAAGAGCCCTTCGCCCCCCCCCGTTTCCCTCTTTTCTTCTTATTATTCTTTCTTTCCTTTTATCTTCTCTTTCCCTTTCCCTTTTTTCCTTCTCTCTGTCTCCCCCAGCTAGGGCTGGTTTTGTTTACGAAGCGCCCGTCACGATAGAGTACACGATATCGTGAACTTTATCGTGAACTTTTCACGATAAAATTCACGATATCGTCAATTTCATCGTGAAAAGTTCACGATAAAGTTCACGATATCGTCAATTTCGTGAATTTCTTCGTGAAAAATATGCGATAAAATTGACGATATCGTGAATTTTATCGCATATTTTTCACGATTTAGTCTATTCGCGATGTCCCTTCAGGGCCACCATAACCTATCTAAGCATAAGACAATGAAACTTTTCACATTACATGCACCAATGCCGAAATGTTTGAACGGTGCAACCCATGTCAAAAATTTCTTCGACACGCACTGCTTTCGAAAATAAATTGCTAATCGGTGCTTAATTATTCGTAATTATTGCAACATTTATAAATAAACAATTGGTTACTAGCTGAGAAGCTAATTGGTTCAGCTGTTTCAAACAGTAGAGCAGTTTCTTAAAGACAAGTTTATAGAATAATGGCCCGCCTAAGCGCCCCCACTCTGGGTCCAGAGGGCGGAGCCCCGGGTGCTCTCGAGTTTTAGCAATTCATAAATTGTAAGATAGCTGTTTTGAGCGAATACAAACATTTGCACTGCCTTGATGGTTTTACTTCCTTGGAAATCTCTCTCTCTCTCTCTCTCTCTCTCTCTCTCTCTCTCTCTCTCACGCACGTCCAGTCTGCGCACAACACGAACACGCACACTCGAATTGGGAACCACTTCTATCATTGTGGGATGCAGGGGCCATGGAATCTCAAAAGATAGAAATTGTCATTTTCTCCTTGAAATTCACACATCCGCTATCATTCCCTTTAAGAATTCATCTCTCTTTCTCTCTAAAGACAATTTCATAGTGTTTTTTTTCCTACACTTTCGTCCATCCCGGTTTCAATACGTTGCCGACCCGTTAGTCACAGTGTAGCGTTTTTTAAAATAATAAATAAATTTAATTCATATCTCTCTCTCTCTCTCAGTCTTTCTTGCATTTTCATCTCTTCTTCTCTTCCTTCTTTTCCCGCCTTTTGTTCCGTCGCTCTCTCTCTCTCTCTCTCTTTCTCTCTCTTTCTCCCTCACACCAAGCTGTTTCTCAAGTTCATGCTACCTACCTATACCCGCCCCTTTGAGGTGCCCCTAAATTGAAAAACGTTGGGGTATTTGTAGATCAATTTTAGATTATGTAAAATAATGGTTATAGTTTGAGATTAGTTTACATATCAAACTGGGACTTCATTCTGTTGTATGTAAAATTTGAGGTACAATGTAGTCATGAATTTCATTTTTTTATTTCGGATACAAGAATTCACAAAATCACTTCCAGGTTTGAAAAATATCAATCTCAGATCAAAAGTGATTCCGTGGACAGAATCATACTTAACTCTTAGTTGACAGTAAGGTTTATTGCCGTTTGGTCTACTCTACAGCCAGTAACGTACCTCTACTATATACTCAATTGCTCTATTCCTATATGGTCTACACCCAGCCCGTCTACTATCCACATGGTCTAATAATCACTTCATCTACTTATCATTTGGTCTCAGGCTAATGTAATACTGGTAGTCATTTGGTCTAATTTCCACTTTGGACTAATCTGCAATAAGTCTACTACCCAATTGGTCTATGGCTCATTCAGTCTAATTCCCAGTTTGCCTAATGCCCATTTTGTCTACTATCCATATGGTCTAATAATTATTTAATCATATATGATAATAATCATCAAATTATTATGATATTAGACATTAATGGGTGGTAGGCCTAGACGAAATAGGCATAGGCCTAAGACAAATTAACTGGGAATTAGTCTAGGTGGTGCTTACAGACTAAATGAACAATTATATAGATCAGAATGGGTAGTAGACTTATTGCAGATTAGACCAAATGTAAATTAGACTAAATAACTATTAGCCTATAAATTGTCATTAGACAAGTGATTATTACTGCAGGCACGTAGCCACGGGGGGGGGGGCACGGGGGGCACGTGCCCCCCCCCCCCAATTCCCAGGATCGGTTGAACTTTTTTAGACCCCCCTTTTTTTTTTTACCTCGATCGATTACATGTATGTGCCCCCCCCCCCCCCAACATCAAACTCTGGCTATGTGCCTGATTATTAGACCATGTAGATATTAGTAGGCGGGCTGGGTGTAGACCAAAACGGCAACTCACCTTCACAGTAATATATACTGGTTTAATTGGCATCCTCGCCACAGGCACAGGGTGTTATTCAGCAGTAGCGGTTCTAGAGGGGGCTTGGGATGGGGGCGGTTAAATTAAGCAACCCAATTTTTTTCGAGGCACATGTCGAACCCCCAAACTCTTGGCCCCCCCCCCAAAAAAAAAAAAAATACCCCCAACATATATATTATATACACTGTCGCTCATATAGTTGGAATATATTTTTTTTGAACCCCAATTTATGGAATTATTTTGACAATGATTTATCCCTAATAGATCTAGATAATATTATACATTCTCAAATTTTATTGAACAAAAATTCCTGTTCCTGTTTGTCAGTACATTTTTGGCGAATTTAGGGCTGATTTCAACATATTTTTTTTGGCCGGGGGCACGTGCCCCCTGTGCCCCCCCCCCCCTGGATCCGCCACTGGCAGGCCAAGAATATCACAGGCATTTTCTTTGTTTTGATTCATCATTATAGTTCGACCATTTGTAACATTCAGCACAGTTTTTGTTCCCTTTGTCTTGGATTCAATCCCTACTACTATTCTTATGCTAATAATGTTTTATCAGTTTGGGGGATGAGAATTAGGACCAGGATTTTTTCCCCTTCTAAATAATAACTTCAAACAATTTTTCTACTGTAAGTTTTTCACATCAAAAGTCATTATACCTGGGGCAGTTTTGCAAATGAGTTCGGGGGATAATCTTGATAGCAAGGGTTACTCCACACATATGTTACTATAGATCCCCATTAGCCATTGCGAATAACAATTTACGCTGTTTATGATGAAAAATGAAAAAAGTGAAAAAACAAACTCCAGATGCCATCTATTTTGTCGTCAAATATATCTCGAACCCTTTCATTATTTAGTTTTCATTTTTATAATATAGCTATGGCCTAATTTTGCTTTTTGAATTTATGTTACAATGTACTTGACTTACAATTCAAATCAAATCTAACTTAAGATATTTTTGTACAGCTGTTTATAATATTATTTTGCTTTTTGTATTTATGTTACAATGAACTTGACTAACAAATCAAATCAAATTTTAAGATATTTTTGTACAGCTGTGGGCAGCTATTTAATTTTTTTTAATGCAATGCAAGTGGAGCGCCATCTACGATTGTTCAAGAACAGCAGTACATCGGTGACGCTCAATCAAATAATTTGCTAGGTAAGTTAAACATTTTATTTTTAAACCTTAAAAACGCTAATGTAATGGCAATGTAAATGGTTTGTGAGGATGGGAGTAATTTATTCGTCATAGAGATCATGTGCTATCAATGTCAATGTGTGCGTGTTATTAAAAGCAACCATGGTGAGATGAGAGTGAAACCCCTAGATCAATAATTGTCCTCGATTGTATCTGTCGTGGCACTGCCGTGGCCTGGTCCTTGCCCAGGCCGCCCCCGGGCCCCGGCGTGGTCGAAAGGGTGCGTGCCTACGTGTATTCATGGCTGTATTAACCAGACTCGCCTCAGTAGATATAACACGCCCACCTATTAGCTAAGGCTCAGCCAAGGCCAAGCATTAATTTTTTGTTTTAATATGATTCCATTTTGCTGCCAAAAAAAATGTTTTTCAATTTGGATTCTAATTTATTTAAATTTGGGCATTATTGTGAAGAAGTAAGTAAATGGGCGGGTTGTCAGTTTCCATTTGCAGCTGCAGAAGGCCATAATTCGCTGAAACCAGACTTTGTGTAATTACCATGTTTAATGGGAGTACAGGTCTGCACACAGCAATGAGCAAACCCAGAATCTAATCAAGAAATACCTCCTACTAGTCTCTCGAAGAGTCTTCAGGTGAGGGTATAAAGCAAAGCATTATATAAGGTCTAACTGAAGGCTAATCGTGGTGATTGACAACACCTGTTGTGTTATTGGGTAAAAACCTGAATGGTGGCGAATTAGAATTAATCCTGCGAGATCAGTACCATTGGCTTTCTCTTTGAACACTATGGCTGGAGGTACACGCTCTACAAAGAACCTGGTGAACTTGGTGAAGGAAGCTCTGATGGACGAAGAAGTCCTTTGTGTCATAAAGAGCACCATTTGTCAAGCTCCGGCCTCTATCCCAGATTTGACCAGTTAATTGATCGCATAGACAAACAAGATGGTGCTTGATGCTATCTTTTACCTACAAAACAAAGTAGAGAAGCTTGAACTTGTGAAACTTAAAATGAAACATCAGAACCTAGAGGAGAAAAATAAAAAGACAGAATCAACACTCAACAACCAGGGGGGGGGGGGGTGTTTCACAAAGATCCTAAGTTGAACTTAAGGTATCTCTAAGTTGAACTTATCTTCAAGTTGGACTTATCAATTATGTTTTTGTAAAATTTATTTTAAAAGGCATAAAATGTTGATACAAATTATTCATGTTTTCTATTATCAAGGAGATTTCATGTTCTGTAAAGTAGTACTGTTGCTTTCAAATAAAAGGAAAGGCAGATACCGCTTTTCATAAGAACATCCTTTTTAATTGTGACAATACCATAGTTTGTCATTGTCAATTCATATTAGCAGCTTCATCATTCATTTTCATGTATAATAGTGGTCTCTGATGGAAAGAGGATTCTGTTTCATCGATATCGCTCAGTAAGTTATTACCAAATGACCAAAACATGTTCCTTTCATTTCATTACAGACTGTTGCTGCATACCTCCAAAATGTCGGGTATAGACAAAGTGCTAGCATTGATCGTGCAAAACAAAATTGCAGCCATCCGCTTCGAGCTAGTTGACATCCATGGCATCGGGCACAGCAGGCTTATCACATCGAGGCATTTTAAGGACAAAGCTGTTCATGGTTCAAGTTTCAATCTACTAGCCCTGGTCCTAGACCCCAAGGGGATCAAGTTCTCCGATAGCGGTATGTGCATCGATGATGTTGATGCTGTCACGTACCCCGTCTATGAGACATTCCAGAATCTGGTTTGGTGTCAGAGTACAGCCAGGATCCTTGTGGAACCCACCATCAAAGGAGAATACATTCCACAGTATCCAAGAAACAACGCACGGAGGCTACTCGATCGACTAGGAGAGCAAGGGGTCTCACTCTTCTCTTCCTTTGTGCATGAGTTCTATCTGGTGGATGAAAAAACCGGTGAGCCAGCAGAGAAGAGCTGCAACTATGCAGCCACCAGTAGACTTTGTAAGCTTGAGGCGTTCATCAATCTTCTGTTGGCATGTCTGCCAAGAGTTGGGGTGGATGTGGAGAGCATAGAGACATTGGATGCTCCTGGCCAACTCAGAGTCACCTACAAGTCGGCCTTTGGTGTCGGTTCGGCAGACAACGCCTACACTTTCAAGTCAACAGTGAAGGAATTGGCCACCAGGAATGGCTTTGTGGCAACCTTCATGACAAAGCCCTGGCCAGAACACAGAGGCAGTACCACCTACTTGTGCCACTCTCTTTGGAGTCTGCAAGAACATAAATGCATCGTCTTTGACTCAACGGCAGAAAATAGTCTATCAAGCACGTGCCAGAAGTGGATCGCTGGAATCCTATCCCATGCCCAGGCTATCACGGCTCTCATGGCACCAACGGTCAACTGCTACAGTCGCTTTGAGACGTCACCAACATCGCACGCCCCGAGCAATTGTTCCTGGGGGATCGGCAACCGCACGTGTGCTATTCGTGTGAAAGTCGATGGTTCCAAGCGAACCATTATCGAGAATCGCATACCTTCGAGTGGGAGCAACCCTTACGTGGTACTGGCAGCAACGGTTGCCGCCGGTCTTGATGGGCTGCTTACTGACATGCCTCTCAAAGCGGCTACAGAAGGAAGTGCCTACGATCAAGGGTATGACTTGCCAGAGCTTCCCCTCTCTCTGGAGCAAGCTATGGAGGTCTTAGAGACAGACGAAGTGATCCTGGATGCACTGGGTAAAGACTTTATCAAATACTTCCTTGCTGCAAAGAGACACGAATGCAGTGAGGCACTTAGGGCAAGGAAAGTTGCCGTTGTAGATGGTGAATCGTGGGAACACAATATGTATTTCGACACGATCTAAAGAATTCATGCACATGAACATCATGTTAGTACCAAAATTCATTTTATATACCCAAGATCGTGTTGTGCCAATTTATTAAAATTGAATATTGATGAAGTATTCATACATGATAGATATACATGTAGTTTTACACTAGCTCTATAGACACTATTTAGTCCATAAATGGCAATTTCTTATACTATGAACTACATTTTCATTGCGGTTATTGATTTATTATGTTTAAGTTTGTCTTAAATTGCCTTTTTTCTGCACTATTGTATCATTTTGTACATGTACCCTGTAGGTAGATTGACCAGCAAAATTTTACTTTTTATATGGTTCAGTCATTTGTGGAAACGGGAAATGTCTCTTGTAATGTTTATAAATTAGAATTCATAAATGTTCTCTGTATTATCCCTTGTAGTCAAAGCGTTAAAGGAAATACATGTACACAGTTTGATGAAGGTTATTGATTTAGTTATACATGTCACCTATTTTTATCAGAAAACTAGACATTTAGGGAATCTATTTTTAACCTGTATCTTTTACAAATACTGTACACTACATTCAAAACTTTGTAGAAATGCTAAAGTCATCTTCTAACGTCTCACTAACCTTTTGAAATGCCTAGCCATGCTTTATATATTTTTTTAATTAAATTAAAGATAGATTTTGATAATGTGCTATTCAAGAGTAGAGTATGAACTAGGGTATACACATTGTGATTATTACTAATTATATATTTTTCATGTGTATTGAATTTCAATTGAACATGGTGCTGAGAAACAGTGCAATGTTCATAAATCTAAGCTTACTGTTATTTGTTTTGTAAGAAAATTATTCTAGAAATTCTATGACAGAGAAAATTATCAGCTTTATTTATTAAGAAAAATACATTTTGTGCTTTAATCTTGTTGTGATCTGCTATTATATGTATTATACTAACAAAGAAGACACCAAATTGTATGTGTACATTATAGTACATTACTTCCCCAGCTGCAAGTATCTAACATCAGAATGTAATGCCAAAAGTTAAACAATATATGTGTAATATATTAAACTACCAGTTGCCTGTTCTGATTTCTCTTTGTACATTCAGGTTTTACCATCATATTTACTTTTTTATGATATTAATAATTCAATTTCATGTGTGAATCAAGACGAACTGAAATTGTACCATTTTTGTAAGATTAATAATAATAATAATAATAATAGATCTCATTTATAACGTGCCTAATACATTGTTTCTAGGCGCAGTGGTGCTGTTGTCCCAGCATCCATTAAGATCTGTAAAAGCTGGAAACTAAGGGAGCTAAAATTGTAGTGCATTGTTCTAATATTACAGATTGCCATAGAATTCAAAAGCATTTATGAGGCCATTTAAAGATTGTTGCTGCTTCTGTATTTAATAGTAATCATGAAATTAGGTTCTAACCGAATTTGCCGCAAGTGTTCGTTTGTTGAATGAAGCTATTCTTCTCTCTCTAGCACATTAGCTCAATGGATTTAAGTACTAAGTGTTAGCACACAAGTATGCACGCACACTTTTATATTATGAAACCAAAACCATAAAAGGAAATCCATTATACACAGTGGATAATTATTCACTGAGTGACAGTGACAGATTTAATGTACTTTGAGAATCGTGAAGCACTTCCTCACTGTGTACCACTCACAATTATATATTACTAACTCTATTATCAATGTCCATACATTACTGCGTTTTCCTTCCATTTTGTGTTGTTTATCGTTTGAATTTATCAGGAATTTTACTCAAAATTCTTTATTGCAACCAAATGTTTCTTATCTCAAGTTATAAAATGTGAGAATTTACTTGCTAATCAACAATGACAGTTGTAATGATATTTTTATTAGTAGCAAGAGAGATAGAGTGTGTGTGAGAGAGAGAGAGAGAGTGAGAGAGAGAGAGAGAAAACAAAAAAGAATGAATCAGAGTGGAAGAGAAAGGGGTAGAAATTAAAATAGAAAGAAATAGAGGGGAAGAAAAAACGAGAGGAGATAGAGGTAGATAGTTCGAATGGGAGAGGAAGAAACAAGAGATAGGGGAAGAAATAGAGGGAAGAAACGGTGTTTAAAGGTAAAGACCAGTTATGGTCATGCGATTGCATTGTGAAAGAAACGTTGTGGAATCGATCAGAAAAGGTTGATCATCTAGCATCCGAGCATCTGCAAGGTTCTGGAATCATCAAAATGATAAGAAATGTGGCCCATTCTTCGTAAAGTTACAAACACTATACACAGAAAGATGTATATGGGACTACCCTATATCTCTCACAGACCATGAGAGAAACAAATTTAGCAAATATATGAATTAGTAGGCGGTTTCCCGGCAAATTTTTTATCATCATGTATTAGTAAAAACATATTCTTTCACATGATTGGTAATGAGAGCTTCCATTTCATTTTTTGAAATTGGGGCGTTTCCAATACTGGTCTTCACCTTTAATATTCACAATTTCACATGCATATTCACAAATCGCATGCGATAACCACATTTTTGTTGTTGAAATGTTTAGACAAATGGCAAGAAAGAGGAACGTGGGAGGAGGGGTAGAGGGAAAAAGCAGAACGGAGTAGAAGATAAACAAGTGGAGATTAGGCAGAGAGAGAGAGAAAAAACAAAAGTTGAGGGGGGGGGGGGGGGGTGAGATGGCTGGCTTGGAGTGAGCTGTAATATCACACATCTATCCTCGACCTATTTCAAGAAGTTAAGAGCCCTTCATTTTGCCTGAAGACACAATATTGAGGACATTACCGGTACATATTTAAAAAAATGATAACAAAAACAACAACGAAACATTTGTTATAATCCACGGCCACGTCTTGAGAAAGGCTAGTAAACACATGCTGGATTTTAAAGATGGCGGCCTCCAAGAGTGAAATTAATGGTGCTACATTTCGCGGTATGGGTCTAGATGATCGTGTCTTGAAGGTAAATTCGTAATGTTTGATGTTGAATATTTATACATTCTTAAGTTTTTATCGAAAATGGTCACAGAAAATTGTAGTTGATAACGAACATTTACCACACGTTCTTTAGTTCAGTCCCATCCATTCAGTTTTATGTTGCCTATTTGCGTCTCTGACTGCAGACTGAAAGCTGAAGCCGAATTTAGCTTAGAGTTAGTGCCATAAATCATAAATGTCATAAACATTTCACAGGTAAATATGTCTGAGGACAGAGGTAGAAATTTCAGAAAAATAATCTGCGCTCTGGACATGCTGGAGGCTCTTTGACTTTATTAAATAAAGAGAAAACAAAAATATAATTTTACTATTTTTAATTTTAGTCGGACGTATCGTATTCGAGAAAGAGTAAGAAAATATGATTGACTGAAATTATAGTTTTTTTTTTCTCTTTATTAAAAACGAGCCTGTATTTAGCGACCGCCCCCCCGGCGCTAGTGTAGCAAGGTATCCAAAATATAGCCTACTAAAACAGACCCCAAATTTCAGACCCCAAATTTTGTGGTCATCATTACCCTAACCCTAACCCTAACCCTAACCCTAACCCTAACCCTAGAACCCTAACCCTAACCCTAACCCTAACCCTAACCCTAACCCTAACCCTAACCCTAGAGATAATGATAAACACGAAATTTGGGGTCTAAAATTTGAGGTCTGTTTTAGTAGGCTATATTTTGGATACCTTGCTACACTAGCGCCCCCTCCCCCTTCCCCTCGTCCAAACCATTCCATTTAATTATTACATTTTTCAAATTGCCAACTTTTATCTTCCGTCTCAGATCCTCATTTGATTATGGTCGATAACTTCACGCAGGGGCGCACACCCGCGCAAAACCATGCAAAAACCCACCATCGGTATGCACTTGTTTTGGGCAGTTGCTTGCAGTGAAACCTGTGAGAAAGTTTATATTTATAATGTCTTTGTTTTAGGAAAAATACTCCCCCAAAAATAAGAAAATTGACACGAAACAGGTTAGAAAGATAACAACTTTAAAATCAAGACCATTATTTGAACAATTGTTGAAGATTCAGTTGATTTTTTGGTATGTTATACTAGTAGGGTATCTCAATGCCTGAGTCATGGGTCCAAAGTATGGTCACAGTTCTGAACTAGCGCTAATATTTCTAGGTGAAAGTGTCGCATGTACAAATATGGAAATGCCAGAAGTATCACATTCACAGGTAAAAAAAATTAGAGGTAAACCATGCCGGAGATAAAGATGTCAGAGGTGAAAACGACAGAGTTAGAAATGTCAGAGGAAGAAAGACGACTATATTTCTTCATCTGGCAATATATATAGCTCTGTGCCTATATACATGTAGCCTACATGTATATAGGCACAGATGAGACTTAACTTAAGTATTATATTTCCTAAAGTGTTGTTTTGATTTGTCATGTCAAATTCCCCTTTTGACTGTTTACTTTCATTCTTTTTTTACATATTTTCTTCCTTTTGATTGACACAAAAAACAAATGTCAAGTGAAGAGAAGGGAAACGATGGCTGAAAGAACTTGTATTATTTGTTTGGGTGTTGTTTCTTTTGTCCTTTAAAAAAATTTAAGTCAGTTAGCTCTTTTAACGAGAAGGTTGAGTTCTGGGGAGAGGTGAAAATAATTTGTGAGCATTATCATTTTTGCTGTGCAAGTGTGGAAGAACGTCAGAGAAAAAACCTTGCAGTACATACCAATACTATATGCTACATGATCAACTTTTAAGAATCTATTCCACACCTTTTCTTTCACAATGCAATCGCAGAACTCAACTTTATCTTAAAATGAGAGACTGAAAATGGGATGTACATGAGTGCACAGAAAGTTCGCATATCTTTGACACATTTTTGTTTTAGTTGCATTACTTTTATCTCTACTAAGTCCATGAAAGATCAAATGAATCTCATGATATTGTAGAGGTATATCAAGTGACACATGCAGGGGTGTTAGCATGAAAACGAATGGGCATTTACAAGTCTCTTCATCTTCCATCAAGCCCAAAAGACAGGTAAGTAGAGATAAACACACAGGGGCTCGGGGTAAATTAGCCCCCGAAATTCCAAAAAGAGCCCCCAAAAGTCATAAAAGCCCCCCAAAATTGCATAGAGTTCAATTCAAAACAAAATAAAGAGTGTTATTTTCATGCAAACAAGCTTGAAAAGTAGCCCCCACAATTTTTAAAGTATTTTTTCCCCTGTACACACCGGTGAGAACTGAACACACATGCATATATCTGTCTCATTTCCTTATGTTCACCTAGGCCCTTGCGAAGCTGGGCTGGTCTAGTCCAACTCTGATCCAGGAAAAGGCGATACCACTGGCCCTGGAAGGAAAGGATATACTAGCCCGGGCTAGGACTGGATCTGGCAAGACAGCAGCCTATGCTATCCCTCTCGTCCAAAAGATCCTAACTTTAAAAGAGGTATTTTATCATTTTGATGTGTTCAAACAATAATTTTGAAAGTTTAAAAAATTGCAAAATTAGATCTTGTCAATATGATGACATGGGGTAAAATGAGTTTATTGAATATGCTTTCAAACATATATAAATGTACTTAATTACATTTAATTAATTACAATAAACTATTCCCTTGTTTGTTTGATGATATAGTGGTTGGATAATAATTGTAAACATTTTTATCATAATATGCATCATTGAACTTTGTCACAAAAGTGACTTAGATAGTTATTGCACTAACTGTTGAGTTGTTTAGCTTTTATTACTTGTATTCCATATTCGTCTACACTTGCTTTTAGATATTTGTCCTTTAATATTGATTTTTTGCTTTCTATGTATAGATATTTATTCTGAAATTACCTTTAACTTGCCATTATTTTATATAGAGTTGACCCAAAATCCAATGCTGCAATTGATACCCTTTGGATTTTAGTTTATAGTTTGTTTGCTCCTTGTTGTTGTGTTAAAAAAAAAATGCTACCTGCAAACACTGATACAGTTTCATCTATCTGTGCAGATGTATAATATTTATCCTTTACCTCTCTTCTTGTTTGTGTATGTTTTTTTAATAAAATAATGAAAAATAGATTTAATACGAGCACAATTTCATGCAACGGTATCCATATTTAATATGAATTCTATGCATCTTTTCTTACAGACAGCTAGAGAGCAGGCTACACGGGCTCTGATCTTAGTGCCATCCAGAGAACTCTGTTCACAGGCGTTCAAGAACATACAGGTAAAACATATACCTTTACCTGAAGAATGAGTTTCATCAATATCATCATGTATGTCTTTTTTTATAGCAGCCACAGACGGTCCACATACCTAGATTTCTCGACTCATCTTATGTTGGGTATACTACACATCAAAGGGCTTATATTTTTTTTAAATTCTAGTCGTTAATTCTGGCAAGAAATTGCAAATTTGCAAGAGGAAATGCTTTGAATTAATTCGGAACTGTTAATCATTCAGCTTTTATAGCAATCTCTTTTGATGGATATCATTGTTTTAGTGTAGAACATTCATTGTAAGTTACTTTAGACGGGGAGGATTATTATTTCCTTTTTGTTTTAACTGGAACTCATGATTTCCTTTTAATGATGCTTGCAAGTTATGCATTAAATTATGTAATGATTAGATTAAGTCACTATGAACATGACAGACAAAGAAAGCGGACAAAATATACAGTTCCTCAGATAGACAAAGGAACATCCCTTCACTGCTATTATGTAAAAATGTGTAGAACAGGTGAATATGCATGTGACACCTGTTCTACACAGTTTTACATAATAGCAGTGAAGGGATGTTCTTTTGTCTACCTGAGGAACTGTATATTTTGTCCGCTGTCTTTGTCTGTCATGTTCATAGTGAGTAATACATATTATTATTATTAGCACCGTGATATTATAATAAGGAAGCTTGATAAATATTGAGCCCTGGCTAGACCTCAATGATAACAGTAACAATATGACAACTTTAACAACAATTTTTGTTTATGTTGAATTTTTTTTGTTTTTTGGACAGACCTCAAAGATAATATCTGTGAGCCTTTGAGGTGACGTCAGTTTGTGTGTTTTTATTTTTTTTATTTTTTTCCCCCTTATTGGAAGAGTGGAAGAGAGAGGGGGGGGGGGGGGGAGGCACCATGGTCACCACAGATATATAGTAATTTTATATATTTATATAAGTAATGATTTCTTTTTGTCTATTCTGCTGCGACATACAAAAGAAGAAGAAGGTGTCAGTGGCAGAAGAAGGAATAGAGGCAATGTCAATACTGTTTGGGTGACATATTAAAGCAACGATTGGATCATTGTGAAAAATTGGCCATGTCTGACCACTTCTATCACTATTGTTGTACATTGTATTGTCTATAGATATTACCGGTGAGGTGTGACCAAGCCTTTACTCTAACTAATGTTGTCTCATTGTGTTTGTTCTACAGGAAATCAGCAAATGTTGCTCTAAAGAAATCAAATGTGCTGATGTATCTGGCCAGGTGGACTTGTCAGCTCAAAGGTATCATAACATTATTTGGAAAGGTTTTGTTATTGATAAACGTAGGCCATAATTGTTACATTTAAAGGCACACTGTCCTTGTAGCTACTTGCTCCCTCTATATACAAAACTTCCCAAATCGGTGCCTGTTGGTCCCCCATGATCCTCTTTTTATTATGTTAAATGAGAGCTGAGTTAATGAGATAGCCACCTGTCACAGTGACCTCGATGGCTCACTGGGTAGTCTAATCCCTTCTAGCTGAAGTAGTAAAGCCTCCCTTTAATGGAAAGGTTTTATGCAAGAAGCTCCATTCGATCAAAGTTTGAACCTGAAATGTAAAAAGATAATTCTTTGGCAAGGCATTAATGGGCATTTTCCCTAATCATGGATACAGTATGAAAATTTATTTTATTGCAATACATGTGTTTTGATGATAATATGTGCAAGGACATATCCCATTGGGTATGTTCATGTGGTTTTAACTTTTTACAGGCATGTGTGACCAGACATAATTATTCATGTCTGGGCATAAAGCTATAAAGCCAACATCTGAAAGATGCAATTTGGATTCAACCATTGTTATCTTGAAAGCAGATCACAGAGCCCACCAATTGACCAACTCACATCCTGAGTGGCCATTGCACGACAACAAGGCTATATCCAGGGAATAATACAACACCTTATGGGCTACTCTAGCTTCCTTTGGTATGGATATAAGAATACTTAGATTTAATCATTAGAAATGTTATCATTACTTTCTTTTCACAGGCCTCTACTGATGGAAAGACCAGACATAGTTCTTGGCACTCCTAGTCGGATCCTGGCCCACATCCAGGCCAAGAACCTGTCCCTGCAGAACTCCCTGGAGATGCTGGTCATCGACGAAGCGGACCTGGTCTTCTCCTTCGGCCATGAGGCTGACATGAGGGCGCTACTCTCTCACTTTCCAAAGATCTATCAAGCCATTCTCATGTCCGCTACGCTGAGTGAAGATGTGAAGACACTCAAGAAGCTGGTGTTGCACAATCCTGTAAGTAGTGCTGGGAAGTAATCGTGATCTGGCGCTGCTCAGTGGCTGCCGGGCTCACGATCAATTGAGCAAAATGAATTTCAATTTTCGGTTTAATAAAATTTGGAGTGGACTTTAAGATTATTATTTATTTATTTATTTTTTATTACTTGACTAGGGATGCGAAGGTCGAGGGTTCGCAAGATATTAACCTACACTTGCTACTCTCCACCCAGGTGTTAAATGGGTACCCGGTAGGATGCGGCCGTCATTGTTGGTCAAACAGTTTTTGAGCGTCAAGTAACGCCTGGCTGGAATGCTCCCCAGGGAGTGGAGATTGTGCACACATTGTGCGCCGGCATGCCCAAATATTAATCAACTCTTTCATGTTCCAATCTATGTTTCCGCCATTTACTGACAAAACGAATAGAATAGCAGAAGACTTCTAGAAAATATGTAGCTAGTAGAAATATCTTGAAATCAGAAAGAATGAGTAAGAAACCTTCACATCTTTAGATGGTAGTGTTGCAATAATGCAACAAATTTTATCTTTAATACGGACAGATCTTTTGAGCAAGATTATGAAGAATAGGTTTATATGATGTAATTTAGGAGAGAGAGAGAGAAAGAGAGAGAGAGTTAGAGAGTTAGAGGGAGAGAGGTAGAAGGGAAATGTTGTTGGGGCAGAGAGCTATTGAATTAAGATCAGGATACAGGAGAAATTTACATATAAATACAAAGAAAATGTTATAACAGGAAGAAAAATTGAAAATCATAGAGCGATAAAAATTAGCCAGAAAGAAATTGTTGCTCAAAATATATATACCTTTTGTATCATGTACCTTTTGCTCATTCCTGTCCTGAAAACAGATTACACTCAAACTCGCCGAATCACAGCTTCCAGAGGCAGACCGCCTAAGCCAGTACCAAGTAAGATGTATTGAAGAGGACAAATATCTACTCATCTACACACTACTGAAGCTCAAGCTGATCAGAGGCAAAACCATCATCTTTGTAAACTCAATAGACAGGTGTTACAGGTGAGAGAAATTTCTTCAAAAGAATTAATCTGATTTATCTGCATTTGTTTTCAAATAAGAAATTTATAGGCCCGAATTCACAAAGGAGGTTTAGATTTAACCCATGGTTTAAACCCTTATTTACATAACCCATGGTTTAAAATAAGCGCTCAATAAGGGCGACACAAGTCAGAGGTCCAATATTAGACGCGCGCAAGGCAAGGTACGCTTTTTTTGCGCTAATTTTTAAACCATTGGTTATGTAAATGAGGTTTTAAACCATGGGTTGAATCTAAACCTCCTTTGTGAATTCGGGCCATAGAATCTGATTATATTTTATTCCATAATCAAAGTGGCTGAATGAATATGCTAAAGTGTTCATGGTTCATGCATTTTTATGTGATACAAAAATCCTTGACTGGTAACCAAGCTTGTCTGAGGCATTCATTAAATAGCAACAAATATGTGTCATGTGTGTATGTGTGTGTGTAATTGGATTTTTACAGACGTGATCAATCAGATATGATTATTTACGTCTGGGGACAGACCTTTAACGTCACCTATCCGAATGACGTGATCCATTCTGAACCTACCATACATACAGGTGACCAAACTTTGTAATGCTTTTCGGAAGAAACATCCATTACTGTGAAATATTGGTAAATTAATGGTAATGATAATAATATTGAAAATGTTTATAGGGCCCATATCCACTAGGCAAGGAGCTCAAGGCCTGCCTTTATACGCCCGGCTTTGCTGGGCTACCGATTTTGGTGCTTACAGCATTCAACTAGTTACTTCCTACAGGTACATGTACCTATTTAACACCTGGGTGGAGAGTAGCAAATGTAGATAGATGTCTTTCCAAAAGAAATCAGAGCGTCCCAAGGTGGGACTCGAACCTCAAACCTTGTAATCTACAGTCTGGTGACGTATCCACTAGACCACGACACAACTAGGGTCTAGGGACCAGTTCTCGAAACTGTCATGAGTAAGTTTTGAAATGCCATGGCGATGCTTGTTAAATTGTATACTGTGCGTTGCCAAGGGATGTCCAAGAACTTTGGCTTATGATGTTTTTGAGAAAACTGCGTAGCTTTATTTAGATTCATGGAATGTTAGGAATAATTTCACCAAGCTAATGATTGTTAACACATACAAGCCCAGGCACAAATGTTTAGTCTACCCTTTTTTTCCTTTTCTTCTGTAGACTGAAGCTGTACCTAGAGCAGTTTTCTGTGCCAGTCTGTCTGCTGAACTCAGAGCTCCCGGTGAACTCTAGATGCCACATAGTAAACCAGTTCAACACCGGTCTGTATGACATCATCGTCGCATCGGAGGAGTCTAGTCTCTTTGATGGAGGCAAGAGAGACGAAGCGGAGGAGAGGAAGGAGAAGAAGGGCAAAGGCCAAAAGTAAGTTCATATTTTGCACTTCTGGTATAAAAAGTTAAAAGTGCTCTGTTATTTATATTTTCATTGTTTTCCTTATTTGTAAAAAAACATTGATACAACCTTTTGAATTACAGTTTCCATTACTGAAATTAAAAGAATTTAAAAGCTTTAAATTTTACATGTATTTGGAAACAGAAACTATTGAAGTTATAGAAGGATTAACAAATATAAGGGTTGACTTATCCCTGACTTGAGCCTTAAGAAATTGTGTTTCATGTCAAAATCAAATTCTATATTAAAATCAAGTTTTATATCAAAATCAAATTTTATATCAAGCTCAAATTTTATATCAAAATCAAATTTTATATCATTATATAAAGGAATCTGAAAAATAAAGTTTGAGTTTCTTATACGGTACATTATTTGCTGTTAAGTATGACTGTTTTTTAAAGACAAATAATCCCTCTTTTCATCTCCTTCAGAGTAAAGCAGAAGAAAGACAAGGAATATGGAGTATCAAGAGGGATAGATTTCCAGAATGTTTCCAACGTGATCAACTTTGACTTTCCAGAGAGTGTCAAGTCCTACATCCACAGAGTGGGAAGGTATGTAGGTCTTTATGATTGAGATGTGTGTAGATCTGGGGGGTGTTTCACAAAGATCCTAAGTTGAACTTAACTCTAAGTTGGACTTAAATATTATGGAGAGCCTTATAATATATAGCCTTATAATGATTTATATTCAAAAGCAAAAATTGGAGTATTTTAGAATTTTCATAAATTCCACATCAAGAACATGAAATCTCCCATGATAATAGAAAATATGAATGATGTGAATCAACATTTATGCATTATAAATAGCTTTACAAGATATTTTCAAGGATGCTAATGGCTTTCCATAATTGTTAAGTCCAACTTAGAGATAAGTTCAACTTAGGATCTTTGTGAAACGCCCCCCCCCCTGTTCTTAAATGTTGAATGGAAAAATCAGACCCTGAAAAGTATTAGTTTCTTAAAGGGAACCAAAACCTTCATACTTAGTTTAATACTTTTATTGTAAAGTTTAAGATATTTGAAAAAAATCAGTGAAAATTTGAACAAAATTGCGCAAGGAATAAGAAAGTTAAAGCTTTTTGAAATGACTAGTCACTAGAGGGCAATATTCAATTTGATGCGTCATTTGTGGACAACTCTCCATGCCTTTTGTACTTCAAATTTCACAATTCTTTTGTTTTCTTCGTATTTATTTGTGTTCTTGATCCGACTTCATAACATGTGAAGTAGAATATCATTTTGCATTCTATACCTTGCTTTCAGGGGAGTAGATTATCTCAATCACAAGAAATTTGAAGTACAAAAGGCTTGGAGAGTTGTCCACAAATGACGCATCAAATTGAATATCGCCCTCTAGTGACTAGTCATTTCAAAAAGCTTTGACTTCCTTATTCCTTGCCTGATTTTGTTCAAATTTTCACTAATTTTATTCAAATATCTTAACCTTTATAATAAAAGTAACTTAGTATGAAGGTTTTGGTTCCCTTTAATGAAGAAATAATAATAATAAGAAGAATTGTAATGACTGGATTTATATAGCACCTTTTCCAAAGGATACAAGGCGCTGTTCTCTTTGTCTTCCAACAATTTAAGAGGAGTTGTACAGGTATGTTTTCAGTTATTTTTTTGAAGAAATCCAGTGAAGTACTGTTTCTTAAGAACGAGGGAGTTTGTCCAAGAGACGTGGGGCGAAGGACTGAAAGGATTTGAAACCAGCCTGTTTTAAAAGTATTTTCTGCAGTTTTACCTTTCCTCTTGAGTTCTGATAGGATTGTTGAAGTACAAAGAAAGTGGACTTCCACTTTAAATGTTGAGAAAGACATTCAAACCCCAAAAGTGTTTAGGTTTTTAATTTTAAAAAGTATTTTCTGTTGTTCTACCTTGTGTCATGAGTTATTTTAAGACTGTAGAATTGAATTGAATTGATTTCCACAAAACATGAAATAAAAGTGTACAAAATGATACAATCAAATGAAGTGGACAGATAGGAATAGTGTAAATACTTATACCTTGAACGATATCAATGCAAATACATGTAGGTACACAAAGTAAATAAATTACAAATTAAAATTGAAATTAAGTTAAAAACTACAAGACTCTCACTCACTAATTCTTAAACACAGACAATTCTACCCATAGACATAGAAGTACATAGAAGGTGCCGTCTGGAAATTGATGTATTCATCTTAAAGAAAGAAAATCAAAATAACTAATTATCTTTATATTTGTTTCCTTGGTTATCTTGCTGGTAATAAGTATTTTGATTGAGGGGTTGCCATGTCAAGAGGGTGCCAGGTAAAAATGTCAGAGGAAAAAATGTCAGAGGTAAAAATGTCAGAGGTAAAAATGTCAGAGGAAAAAATGTCAGAGGTAAAAATGTCAGAGGTAAAAATGTCAGAGGAAAAAATGTCAGAGGTAAAAATGTCAGAGGTAAAAATGTCAGAGGTAAAAATGTCAGAGGTAAAAATGTCAGAGGTAAAAATGTCAGAGGTAAAAATGTCAGAGGTAAAAATGTCAGAGGTAAAAATGTCAGAGGAAAAAATGTCAGAGGTAAAAATGTCAGAGGTAAAAATGTCAGAGGTAAAAATATTAGAGGTACAAGCACAACAAATGAGTGCCGTCATAATATCTCAGCACTTTTATCACACAGAATGTCGAGACGTACAGCTACTGCATGGGCTAGTCTATTATATTCCTTTCTTCCATAATGTAAATTATATAAATGGCTGTGTGTTGTATTTCGTACATGTCCTGAGGATAATACAATGTGGAAAATAGATTTTGAAATTTATTTTTTTTTGATCAGGCTTGCATATATATTATTTATGAATGTCTAACATTTTTTGATATTTTGAATTGGTTGATGTGTTAATGTTTGTGAAACGGACCGGTTTGGCCGGTGGCAGCCTACAACCTAGCCCGTGTAACGTTCCAGAGACGAACAAAGTCCAAACGAAGAAATGAAAGTTCTCGACAAAAGTCAGGTGTTAAAGTGAGTAGTGCATTTAGTAAAAATAATTACATATAGTCACGAGGAATCACGAAAAGTGACATATATAGGCTGGGCGCCCCGAACTCTGCTAAAGCTTTAGCACCTCATGGCGGCAAAGGAAGTGGAGTAAGAATGAGAAAAAAAACAAGAAGTGAAGACTCGCTCCGAAAACTAAAAACCCGCTCCAAAAAGAAAAGACCGTCTCGATTCAGAAGCTCATCCCCATTGTAAACCCTCCGACACGTGTGACCCCTTATAAGGGCGTGTCACTACGACGCATTGCGTCAAAATGTAATCCCCGGCACCATACACACCCATGTCGAAAGGAACTTTATTAATTTTGCGAACTTAACCTCCAGAGTTGAGCTTTCCGGCCCGCAATACTCATCGGCCTCGTAACTTACATAACTCTCTCATTTGTGCTCTTTCGATCTTAAACTCTTTCATTCGACATCTTTATTAAATCCGAAGAACGCAAACGGGCCGGAAATATAACAATCCTGGAGGCAATTATTTGAATGATAATCGGAGCATGCATTTCGAACTCGCACATAAACATTCTGAACTAGGGCACAACAGTCCTATAGTAACGATGAACAGGCGCGTAGCCAGAGTTTGAGGGGTTTTTTTTGGGGGGGGGGGAGGGCACATGTAATCGATCGAGGTAAAAAAAAGGGGTCTAAAAAAAGCAACCGATCCTGGAAATTTAGGGGGGGGCACGTGCCCCCCCCCCCCCCCCCCGTGCCCCCCCCCCCCCCGCGGCTACGCGCCTGATTATGAACCTTAACAACAAGCTACCCCCTCCCCCTCAAAAAATGAAAGTTGTTTACTCCATTAACTATTCCGTTGATACCCAATGTACACCCCCTCTTTCTTGTTTCCCTTTTGCCAATATTGTTTCCTCCACATTTGTGTTATTATGTATTCATTGAGGGTAGTCATGCTATCAAGCTATGCTTACTTTGTCAACCCTCCTGGTTGAGGTTTTCGACTAGTTACAGCCAGCCTTACTATACTGTAGGCCCCCCGCACCCCCCCCCCCCCCTGTTCCGCCTCTGCTCTTTTGTCGTGTGTTAAATTTGCAATGATTTGTTTGTTATATGTTTGTAAAACTGCAAAAGAAAAAAGGAAATCAAACAGAAATAAATAAATCGAAATCAAGTCAAATCAATGAGTCATGGACCCCACATGTTTTTACAAATACGTAGGCGTCCCTTCCTGTTTACACCCATGACAACCAGTTTGACCCAATAACTGGCAACTGCGAACAGTGCAAGGAGGCGAACAAACTTTTCTAAGACCAAAACAAATCGTAAATTCATTACCGCTACAATTATTTGGCTTTTAGGAAGTAAGTACATAGAATATTAAGATTGAATGAGATAATTGAAACATGGACTCAATTATTAAGATTGCACAGAAATTCCACAAATTCAGTCATCAGACCCAATTTCATGTTCATCGCCTAGCAAAGACTGTTCAGACGCGGATCCGGGATTTTCCAATAGGGGGGGGGGGGGGGGCCGAATTTTTTTTAATCGCATAGACCAATATTTCAACTTAACATACAAGCGGGCACAAATTTGGAGAGGGGGCAGGCTCGTGTCATGTATGTTGTCCGATATCAACATCCGCCTTTTTTTTAATTTATGCCTTTTTCCCTAGCGCGGAAGCTTTGACATTTCATTAAATAGAGAAAGAAGACGATTCATTGTACCGTTCCGACTCTTAGTTCATGTTTCGCCCCTCCCGCGCGAAGCGCGGAAGTTTTGACGTTTCATTACACCATTAGAGAAAGATGACGATTGGTTGTACTATTTTCGACTCTTAATCCTTGTCTGATTTCGGTTTGATTAAATTATCTGAGAAAGAAGACAATTCGTTGTACCGTTCTCTACTCTAAATCCTGGTCTGAATTCAGTTTCCCACTCCCGCGCTTCGCACGGAAGCTTTGACATTTTCATTAAATTATAAGAGAAACAAGACGATTCGCTGTACTGTTCTTTACTCTTAATCCTTGTCTGATTTCAGTTTCATTAAATTATCAGAGAAAGAAGACGATTCGTTGTACCGATCTCTATGCTCTAAATCCATTCAGTTTTCTCCCCTCCCGCGCGAAGCGCGGAACCTTTACGTTACCCTTAATCATTACTCTTAACCCTTGTCTGAATTCATTATCGCCCATCGCGAAGCGCAGAAGCTTTCATGTTTATTAAAATTATTAGAGTAGAAGGCGATTCGTTGTACCGTGTCCATGTCTGAATTTAGTTTTCCCCCCCCCCCTCCCCGCGCGAAGCAAGGTAGTTTGGGCGTTTCATTAAAATGATTCCTTTTAATCCTTGTCTGAATTCATTTTCCCCTCCTGCGCGAAGCAAGGAAGCTTTGACGTTTCCTTAAATTATTAGAGAAAGAATACAATTCGTTGTACTGTTTTCGACTCTTAATCCTTGTCTGAATTCAGTTACCCCTACCACGCGAAGCGAGGAAGCTTTGACGTTTCATTTAATTATTAGAAAAAGAAGACAATTCGTTGTAGCGACTATTAATCATTGTCTGAATTTTCAAAAATGTTTCTCTGTCTGATCGAGCAAAAACTATCGACACTGCGGATCCGACACAGCAACATAATTATCATGCGTATCTTTCTTGCTCCCTCGACGTGGCGACTCCCGGCATCCCCCTCTCTCTCTCTTACTCCCACCCCTCTTCCCTCAGGCCCTTACTACATCTCTCTCTCCTCTCTTTCATTCTCCTTTCTTTTTTCTCTCTTTTCTTTTTTCTTTTTTCCTTTTCTCCTTTTCTTTCTTTTCTTTCTTTTCCTTTTCCATTCCCTATTCTTTTCTCATTTTCCAGTTTTCTCTTTCTTTCTTCTCTTCTCTTCCTTTCTTTTCCTTTTCTTTTTTCTTTTCTTTCCCTTTCCCTCTCTTTTTCCCCTCCCTCTTTCTCTTTTTTTCCCGACGGCAGCGCAATTTTACCGACACTATCCTAACAGGTGGAGGGGTGTCGCACCCCACACCCCCCCTCCCCTCCTTTGGCGACGCCCCTGGTTATAGGATAATCATGTACTTTTAAGAATGCTCTCAATTGCCTGAAGATTGCTTGCAAGGTGCGAAACTCGGAGTAGAAATTAGTCTGCCTGCTCTGCCTAGGCATTGACCACTGTTCGGAAGGATATATAGCAAAGCATAATATAAGAGGAAGGGGAGAGCAGCCGGGTCACCGTGCCCCTGAAAAAGAATACCCTCCCCCCCCCCCCCCCCCCCCCCCCCCCCGTCTTCCTTCGGCAATAATCGGGCAAAAAGTCACAATTTGGGCCGAAAGGTAAACTGGGAAAGTGGAAAATAAAGCAGCGGTGAAATAACAACTGCAGAATATCCCTCGCTGTTCTTTTTCGATAAGCCTAATATATAACCCGGGTGTAACCATAACAAACTTGCCACATGATTTTGTTTTTATTTTATACCTCTAACATTAATACCTCTGACGTTTTTTCCTCTGACATTTTTACCTCTGACATTTTTACCTCTGACATTTTTATCTGACATTTTTACCTCTGACATTTTTACCTCTGACATTTTTACCTCTGACATTTTTACCTCTGACATTTTTTCCTCTGACATTTTTACCTCTGACATTTTTCCTCTGACATTTTTTCCTCTGACATTTTTACCTCTGACATTTTTACCTCTGACATTTTTACCTCTGACATTTTTACCTCTGACATTTTTACCTCTGACATTTTTTCCTCTGACATTTTTACACCGAGCCGTCAAGAGAATATGATAGAACATTAGATATGACATGTACCTGTCAAAATATGCTTGTGCATCTGTTAACAGCTGAGAAAGCATATACGTACCTTAATACCTGAAGTTTAAAAAAAATGCTAACAAAACAAATGGGATTATTTAATGGCATGAAGCTTACAGGAATCTAGCCAACTTGTGAATTCAGGATTTGCATTATGCAAGTTCATACAATAGGAAATGTACATTCAATAAAATTAAATCCTTTTCGTGTTTCATGGTGCTCATTTGAATATCTATCAAAATGCTGTGTTCTATTTACAGAACTGCAAGAGGAGAAAAGATGGGAACAGCCTTGTCCTTTGTGAATGAGCAGGAGCAAGATCTTCTAGACAATGTAGAACAGGAACTTATCGGAGGTAAAATCCTTAAGAATAATAAAAAACATCATCATTTCTTGTTCTCTTTTCTCCCAAATACCCCTGTAAATGAGAATTCTTATTGACTTCATAATTATAATTTATAATAACTTTGAAAAGTTTCTTGTGAAGTTCAATGTCATTAGTAGAAGTCGAGCCTACTTTTAAGATTTATATTGCGCAGCTAAGGTATTTTCAATATTTCTTTAATTAAATTTCAAATTGCTTGTCTTTTTCAGATGATGGAACACCTTTAATCAAGCCTTATCAGTTCAAGATGTCAGAGATTGAAGGATTCAGGTATCGAGCCAAGGTAAGAAATCATGAGGCCTATAACCCATCTGTTTCCGCCCGACTAACTCCTAGACAATAACCCCTCTATGACAACAACCTCCTTCGATTAAAGATAAACTTGAGTTCTGGTAAAAAAAGAAAATGAATTCTCGCAGAATCAAACAAAACTTACACTGAATGTTCAAGATTACAAATAAATGTCATTTGCCAAACAATTTTGGTAGAAAATGTATACTGGCTGAGTAATGAGCATAGAAGGATAAGGAAATCAGTGTACAGTGCTTGTTACTTTACCAAGACTGGGCCAAATTTATTATGATTTTGATGACTCCAGAACCTTGCAGTAAACACCAATACTTACATGCTACATGGTCAACTTTTTCTGATCCATTCCACACCTTTTCTTCCACAATGCAATCGCACGACCAGAACTCACATTTATCTTTAAAACCATCAAGACAATCCCTCTGAGATGAGGTATTGAAATTCTCTCAATTTACAATGTCATTATGGGGTAATTGCTTAGGTTATAGCTGTTCTGAGGAGGTACAGTGTACTTCAGGGAGTAGTCGTTCTAAAACTATCTGGATACAATAGTTAACTTTAAATTTTCTTTAATCTTTGTTCTTATCTAAGATGTAATGTTAGATGTAAGATGTTATTAAGGACTACGTAGACTCAATTTTTTGTGTACGCGTTACAATTAAAAAAAACTCTTTCTTAATGGGTATACATGCAAGCTTGCGATTCATCTATGAAGACAATCTAACACATGCATAGATCTCATTCCACGTTCAGTGTATCCAGCCCTGTATGATTTGTTATCATTGATTCCTAACTCTCTGTTCATTGATATTAAGCATGCAATGGTAAAGATGGCTTGTTTAGAAATAATTAATCTATCCATGAATACCCAAGGTGCAATGCAAGCAATGAGATGGGCAGAAATAAGTCATATCTGTATTTATTATTATACGGTTCCCAGGATTCAATGCAAGTAGTGAAATATGTTAGAAATGATTCATCTCTCTGTATTAATTTTGTTAATACTGTAGTAACCAAAATTCTTTAATTCAATCATTCAGCAGTGAATTAGGTACACGTCATTAATTTCTACCTCTTTATTTTGTAACACCCAGGATGCAATGCGAGCGGTAACGAAGGTAGCAGTGCGTGAAGCCAGGGTGAAAGAGATCAAGCAGGAGATCTTCAACTCCAAGAAACTCAAGGCCTACTTCGAAGACAACCCAAGGGACCTACAGCTCCTCAGACACGACAAGATCCTGCATCCTGCGAAGGTCCACTCTGACCTCAAGAATGTACCGGAATACCTTGGTAAGTCATCGCCATGGTTACCGCTCCATTAAAGTAATCCCCATATTCTTCAGTGCTTCCAGTAAAGAGCAGTAAGGATCATGAAATGGGAAATGTAGTTTAGCTATCAGTCAATCAATATTTTTGTTATGCAGTACGTACATGTCAATATAAAATGATTAAATTTGTAGTAGTCTCTTCAATTTGTTATGCCTCTGCTACAAAATCTGCTACTTTGTAGCGGGAGGCATTATGTTTTCGTGTTCGCCTCATCTCAAGAACCAATTGATGGATTCCCGCTAAATTTAGGTCATGTATGTATCTTGCAGAGCCAACGAACTGATTAGATTTTGGGGTCACAAGGTCAAAGGTCACAGGGCTCATTATGTATGCGAAAATAGCTTGTTGTCGCGTTATCTCAAGAACTGATTGAGGGATTGCTGCTACACTTGGGTCATGTATGTATCTTGCAGAGCCAATGAAGTGATTAGATTTTTGGGTCACAAGGTCAAAGTTCATAGGTCACAGGGCTCATTATGTATGCAAAAACAGCTCGTGATCACACTTTCATTAGAACCAATGAGCAGATTACCATCAAGCTCAAGACATGTATGTATCTTGCAGAGTCAATGAACTGATTAGATTTTAGGGTCAAATGTCAAAGGTCATGGTGCTTCATCATGTATGGATATAAATAACCTTGTAAGTTGGGGCTTTGATCGGATCGGAAGATCGGAGCGACACCCTCGCACCTTTGATCGGTATTGGCAAAAAATATTGGCAAAAAGTATTGGTTCAAAATGATTTTTAAAATTTTTTTTTTTTTAAGTTGAAATTTTGAGCACTCTAATATCTAAAATCACTCACACCTTTGATAATTCTCTCATTTGAAGTTGTTGTAGTTCATATTTCAAACTAATTTCATGCCATTAAAATTAACTTGAATGTCAAAAATTGAAAATAAATTGTTTTATAAAAAAATTGAAAAAAAAAAGAGTTGCCGAAAATTTTCAAGTTTTGAGCTATCAAATACTAGAAAAACATGCATAGCTGGAATTATTTTGTCATTTGGAGTTGTTGAAGACCATTTTTGTTGATATTAAGTGCCTTTTCATGACTGTGAAATTAATAATTTTAGTCTAAGAGAAGAGGCAAAACATGCGAGCCGCCATCTTGGATTACAATGACTATGGAAAAAAAATGCATGCTTGTGAACGTATTATCAATAAACGACAGATGGATTACTATCAAACTCAGGACATGCATTTATCTTGCAGAGCCATGTATATGAAAAATAGCTTGTATTCACGATATATTCTGAAAACCTCTAAATGGATTACAATCAAACTTGAATTTTAAAAATCGCTTCCGTTTAGGTTTGTTAAATAGAACGTGACTGCTTAAAGATCGGTAGAGATGAACCTTTTTAAATTCCTTTTACAAAAATTGATTAATTGTATATTGCCCAGGCCTGCTTTTGACATCCGTAAGAGTACTTTTCAATCATTTGACTAAATGAAGGAAACAGGGTAACATAAACTTTTCATGTACATCGATCACTGTACTTATTTACATGTATTAAAGTACAGACCACCTTCCATTAACTTTGTTGTTATTTTCATGCCTCTGATCACCAAAGATGGTGCCAGAGGCATTGTTTTCTATATATATCTCCCCCACTATTTGTGCACAACGTATCTCAAGATCTATCTACATGTATGCTTACACTTTAAATATTGCTCGCATCGATCTGTGTCAGTACTCCTTTTGAACAGTTTAATGATTTATCTGAGTAGGTTGAATCTTATGAATTGTTAAAGTATTGACTTTACAAGGACCGAGCCTGATTGCTTGGAGATTGATTGAGATGAACCTTTTCAAATTCCTTTTCCAAATTATTTATTAATTGCATATTGCCCAGGCCTGCTTTTGAAATTAATAAGAATATTTGTAGATCATTTGACGAAATAAGGAACTTTTTATGTACATGAATTGCTGTACTTATTTACATGTAAGTGCAGACCACCTTTGTTGTTATTCTGTATGCCTCCGCCCACCAAACGTGGTGCTGGAGGGCTAGGGTAAGGGTTTACCCATAAACTTTCAAAACAGAAAAGAATATGATTTCCTTCTTTAAATTTTCAAAATATATTGATACCAAGATATGTGCTTGCCCTGTTCATATTTTACTGTCCAGGTATGTACATGTACATGTATATAACCAAAAGAACTTAGATTCATGAAAAGTAGTAGGAAAAAGCTACATTTATATGTTCAATATACATGTAGTATCAACAATCAACATACCGGTACAGTATTATACAAGCATTGAATACAGGACAAATTGGTAATATATACAGTATATTGGTACATTAATTTCTTCCTGTTTATACAACCACAATTATTTTAATTGCATTTCTTTCTAATTACATGGTGATGATTGTGTGTTTAACAGTAGTTTACTAACAATGAAAGATCCTAATAAAATTTCAAATGAATAGCCATAATATTCTACAAATTTACTTTTAGGTAGAAATATCTTAATTCTATACATTTGTACAAGTGTTCCTGCATGTAGGTTACTCTTTCAGAGCTGCCAACCATTTCGTTTTTGCCAGAATTACTCAGTTTTTTCCTCCAAATTACGGTATTACTTTTTTTTGTTTTTTTTTTAAAAATTAAATTTTTTTTTTACATACCGCATGTCAAACAACTGCACTAAAATGGTGATTTGATCACAAATTCGATAGAAAACTAAATTTAAAACATACTTGAAAAGAAAAATTCCTGCTTGTATAGAAAAAACAGCATGATGAATGAACATTTCTGCATTGGAAGTGTGTCGCGCGTGGTTGTAAGTTTCGTTTTTATGAATTCCTTTTTTTTTGCTTGAATTCCTTTTTTTGCCATCATGATTTCTTTTTTTGGTCGCACAAGGTTGGCAGCTCTGCTCCGCTCTGACATTTTGTTAATTATTGCAATAAGTGAATGGCCTGCAACAGGTATGTCTGAAGCGTTGATTTACAAACAGGTAGATAAAAACATTGATGATGTTATTGATGTACTTGATTTGGTAGCAGAAATACACGAAATCATCTCTCAGCTGACGGTCTGGGATGATCCTACTGAGTTGATTTCTAGGAACCTGATCAAGCACAATGCTTGGAAGCCAGAAGAGAAAAAATATAACTGTAATGATGATGACCACTTGAGTAGTCTTATGATCAGTCTGGTGGCTTTTAGACTTCTTTGATGATTGCTCTGTCTTCTCATGGACTGGCCTAGGGTGGGATCTTGTGTCACAAGGGCCTTCGTTTTGCAGAGAGCCATGTCGTCCTTGCTTGCAGGTTCCATTGGACTCTGTGGCATTTGATAATTCAGCATCGGACTTAGAAACGGCAGCACTTACTGATATGACACTCTCAGTTGTAGTGGATGTGACATGTGCATTTATCATTTTCTTGCGAATAATTTGGTGAGCACGGATGAACTTATAAATGATGAGGTATAAAACAGTTATAGCTATGGCAGAAACACAGAATACAATGGCTTGTGATGTGGCGTAGACCTCACCTCCCCATGGGTTGTCGCCATACACTTTGCACCCATACGACTCTTCATTAAACTTCACTGAAGTTGTAATGAAGAAGAACGGGACATGAAGACAGACTGCAAGAAGTGTGCAACCGATGGAGATCAAGATAGCAGCTCGGCGTCCGATTCGTCGATCGAATGGCTTACAGATGGCTTGGTAGCGGTAAACAGCTATCGAGATCGTGAGAAACAACCCGGCATATAGTGCAGACCTTCCACCGATGATCTCCACAAAACATGCCCATGGGTGTTCATTGTGAAAGAAGATAATTGGGATCCTCATGCTGTTGATGATACAGGCAATGAGCTCAACAATGGCAAGTGCAGTAAAGGTAACATCAGTAGCATTCTTGATACCTTGTCTTACAAAGACATATATGATCGTTATGTTGCCAGGAATACCCAGAGCAGCAGCCAAACAACCTAGTACTATGCGGATAATTTCCATTCCACTAAACATTTTGACTGATGATAGCAAAGTATGATTCAAAGAATTTGATCTGAGGTGGAAATAGTTAACTGATATATTTCAGCAATATCTAAAGATCATAACTGAATATGATATCTTAAGTAACTTTGATAATGCTGTAAACACTGTCAATGCTGCTACTGAAATGAAAGGATTAATGAACCCAACATGATATTTATACACTAGCAAGTCACATAAGGTAGGGTTAATAGCGAAAAATTCAGAATTCCTTAAAAAATTCTTTTAAACTAGCAGATTGAATGTTATCATATGGCCTTACCGTTATTGATTCCCATGTATTCTGGCAATAAAAGCAGAAATTTCAGACTATCGACTTTCTACCTTTCTGGTTAGTCACATACTTCCCCGCATTTTCTTGTATGGATGAATTTTCAAAAGTATTGACTTTATAAGAATGGAGCATGATTGCTTAGAGATTGGTAAAGATGAACCTTTTCAAATTCCTTTTACAAAAATTGATTAATTGCATATTACCCAGGCCTGCTTTTGACATCCAGGGATGGAGCCTGATTGCTTGGAGATTGATAGAGATGAATCTTTTTGAATTCCTTTTACAAAAAGGTTAATGATATATCTGAATAGATTGAATCTTATGAATCGTTAAAGTATTGAATTTACAAGGATGGAGCGTGATTGCTTAGAGATCGGTAGAGATGATCCTTTTTAAATTCCCTTTACAAAAATCTTATTAATTTCATATTGCCCAGGCCTGCTTTTGACATTCATAAGAATACTTGTCAATCATTTGACTACCGGTAAATAAAGGAAACAGTGAAACATAATATTTTTATCTTTACTTATTTTCATGTAAGTACAGACAACCTTGTAACTTTGTTATCCCCTCGCCGACGAAGTCGGAGGGGATATAGTAACGCTGCAGTCCGTCCTTCCTTCCTTCCGTCCTTCCTTTCGTGCGTGCGTGCGTCCGTAATAAATT